TTGAGACAATGTCGATATTCCCAACGGTCATGGCTCAGGTGAATGTCGAATCAATTCGGCAAGCAATGCCATCGTCTACGTTGGAGCGCGAATTCGTTTTGTGGCAAGAACAAATGCGACGACCCGTCGCAAGACTTCCGCTAGGGTACGGAATAAGAACCTCAGAGTTCTTGGCAAGAGTAGAAGACGACGTGCAAGAATATATAGTATATAGAAAGCATGTCGACGCTCACCGAGGACGAGCGTAAAGCTGAAGAGGCTTACAAGCAAGCAAGAGAAGAGATGGACCTGTATGAGAAGGAACTCAAGAAGGAGATGAGAGAAAAGCTTGAAGCCAGAATGAAGAAAGTTCGAGAACTTGAAGAAGATGCAGTCGCAGCAAGAGGAGACGTTGAGAAGACGAACAACGTGAAAAGCGCGTTGGGCAAGCTAGGTCAAGTTGTACAAATGGCAGACAAGCTACTGTCAGCCCTAAGTGAAGAATTCAAGGACCTAGACTTGTACAAGAGGCCAGATCCAGACAAGGAGAAAGAAAGACAGGCCTTAGCAAAGCTTATGACGATGATCAAGAAGAAAAGTGAAGGAAGTAATCCGTCAACACCGGCAGCAAAGATCAAAGCCATGCCGAAGAGAGCACCAAGTGTTATCAAAGAAGGACTTGCACTTTCTGAAGAAGAGAGAAGTGCAGCGAACACGAAGGAAAAGCAGTTGGAGCTGAAGCGCAAACTGAAAGAACGTTTCGCAGAAGCAAGAGATGATATGATCGAAAAAGCAGCAAGGGCAAAAGTTGATCATGCAAAGGACAAGCCAAGTGAACCAGAAGGAACGCCACCAAAGAGGCAAGTGAATCCGTATTGGCTCAAAGGCCAAGGGGATCAAAAGGAAGAATCGTACAAGAAGACAAGATACCAGAACTGCTATTACAGCAAGCAGTCAGCCGACCACAGAGCGACTGAGTGTCCTCTGATGGAACAAGCTGTGCGAATGTATTACAGCGGAGAGCGGCCCGAAGCAAGCAACACCGCTCACAAGATTTTCTGCAAGGTATGTTATATCTACTTCCAGAAGATGACCGGAAGGTCATTCAGATATACTGGCTGGGGTAACCATACCCCAGACATCTGCAATTACAAAGACCAAGTGAGAAGCTATCTGGAGGATAATGCATACAAGTATGACAAGGAATCGAAAGATTTCCAAGAGACATTGGGCATAGGATACAAGCCAAAAGACAGTTGGGGAGCAGAACCCAAGAAGCCCAAGAAAAGTGAAGAGGCAAAGGCTGAAGAGAAGACCGTGAAGAAGACAGAAGAGAAAGAGCCAAAGAAGAAGAAGCCAGTGGAAAAGTCCAAGAGCAAGGACAAGGACAAGAAGAAGAAATCTGACAAGACTGAGAAGACAAAGAAGGTCGAAAAGGAGAAGAAGCGCAAAAGCGTATCTCCGTTCGATCAAGAAAGAGCTGAGAGACGCCAGCGGAATGAGCAAGAGCTTATGTAAACTGCGGCGACGGTTTAAAGAAGCAAGAAGAGTGAGGGCGTTCACAAAGACGCCCAGCAAAGGCGAAAGCAAATGTTTCACAAAGCACGAGAGTCTCACACCGCCAAAAGCCTGTGAGAAGGGAAGTGCGAGAAGAGTGAGGACAAAAGTCCAAAGCGGAAAGTGGCAAGCCAAAAGCCACATGCAGAGTGTTTCAAGAAGCTGACTGGAGACCGCGTAAAAGGCTCCTAAAGCATACGACAAAAAGGCACTACGAGCACCACGAAGAATTAAGTCAATGTTCACAAAGAGGACTACAGAAAAGTCCAGCAAAGTTTCCAGATTGCCTAAAGGCAAGGATGGACTACGACTACCTCGCATACAGCGACGTACAGAAAAAGTGAGTGTGCACGTAGAGTGGAGTCAGTGGAGTGAGTCCATGCCAAATGTGTGTGGAAAGTAATTCGCAAATCTGCTATAGGACATCAGAAGAGTGAGGATGAAGACCAAAGGAAGAAAAAGATAAAGATGTCCCACAAGTGCTTAAAGAAGCGTGCGAGAAGTGAAGATGAAGGCTCACAGGAGCATGCGAAAACGGTTGTAGAAGTAGTACAAGGATTAGGAAAAGTTTCACAAGATCGTATTACACGACAAAGCTGTGTATACGATGAGGGCGTAACAGAATGTTCAATTTTCCCTCATGCCCGATTTAGCGCAAGTTTCACTGCGTATCTCCGTAGGTCAAACGTAGGCTCAAGACTGCCTGACAGCAGAGCGAGTAGTGAGAAAAGATTCCGAAGCTCGCGCCGTGCTAAGACAAGGATACTGGTTTAAGGGTTTAAACTTTCAGTTTCGCTTAGTTTGGGATTTTATTGGGTCGTTTGTGTTTGTTTGTTCTTGTTGGGATCGAGAACTGCTGCTGACGCAGTCGACGAAATCGTAGTCCGTCAGTGCTTATTCTACAACTCGGACTCTTTGCGAGTCTCTCTGCAAAGCGAAGACGTTTGGTGTTCGAGTGATTTCCTTCGATTTTACATGGAGACTCACAAGCTAGTTGCCTCCCAACAAATTCTGCTATGGATGACTCCATCGGAGACTTCTACGGCGTTACAGGTCTCAGAGTGCAGTGAACTGCTCGACTCTATGAGAGCGAGCTGATCTCCGCCCACACTAGCCAGGTAAGTTTATGCAGAACTTGCACTTTTTCTTGCAAACCATGATTTGGTTCTTGTAGGCTGTGTAAGCAGTCCGACGATTTTTGCAGGTTCTTTCATGAAGGCACTGATAGGTCTCCTTGCAGATCGTTTGTGCGATGTTTGGAGACTCTATTTTTGCGGTTCACACCCTACTGGGGGAAGTATGCTCGGCCAAGAATGGATGAGGCGGTTGCTGCCGATTTTCTTAATCTTGCTTTTTTGCCAACAGGAATGATTTGATTAGTTCTAGCTGCCGATTTTCTTAATCTTGCTTTTTGCCAAAGGAGTGTTTAGTTCTAGCCGCAAAATGATTCCCCGGAGGATCCAGCCTCAGGCATCCTTGCGGAACGGAAAGAAGTTCATTTTCCTGATTCCGTTTTTGAAATGTTTACATTTCAAACCGCCCGAAGTTTTCCTTCAATCGTCTGCAATCTTGATTGAGATTTGAATCTTCCTTTGCGAGTTCCACTGCAAAAACTCAGGCGTTTGGTGTCCGAGTGATTTCCTTTGTTACATACATTTGGAAGGCACATGTCACATAATTTTTTCCTAAACTTATGAATGCCCTTATACTTTTAGAGCGACAGGAATCAGCAATAATAAAAGGGTCCGAGTGCTGTGCAGTAAATGCTGTAACACTCTTGCCCCCTTTTTTCTCCCACTTACCGCTAGGAAACGGAAGCCGGGCTCGAACGTGATCGTGTATGTTTGTGGCAGGACGTAACGGAATACCGGCCGGCAGCCGTGCGGCTCAGACCGGTTACCGCTACCGTTGTAGGAGATTTAACTTTCTCCCCGCCTCCGTCCCCGACTTCCGCCTTCTTCCCCGGCATTTCATCCGGGCATTTTCTAAGACGCCGTCTTTCTTCCGGCTGTCCGTTCCGGTATGCCGGCAAGCCGAGTTTCGAGACTCTCCTGCACTTTGCGTCAGGCTGTTTGTCCGGGTATTCAGCAGGATTTCTCGTCTCTGCTTCGTCGGTCCGGCTCGATCTGCCGGCGAGTGTTTCCAGCATGTCGCTTCGGACCTTACATGCCATACGCCCGTTTCCGGTCCGGCTCGGTTCGTATCCGGGTCCGAAGCACCGCTTCTGTATTAGGACTCCCATTGCTGTAGTTTACCGTCTTGAAGAATTCCCGCAGTGCCAGCCTTGCTTTTGAACCAAAATCAAATCTGCCATTGCCGGTTTTTTTGGGAAGTGGGAGGTGCTTTCGTATCTTCCTCCTTTTCGCTGCCGGTCCGAAACCGGATTGCGGAGCTACCGGACCTTCGCCACTGGTCAAAAAGAAGAGGGTCCGAGCGCTGTGCAGTAAGCACTGTAACACCCTCGCCCCCTGGTCTGCCACTTACCGGTAGGAAACGGAAGCCGGGCTCGAACCACCGCTTGCACGGCTTGAAGGTTTGGAGCTCCAAATCCTGGAAATGCAACAGATAATTCCGGGAGCTGCAGCTTCATTCACAACCGTGATTTGAAGCCTTATGATTCGAAGTTCACGCAATCCAGAAAAGGGGGTTGTCCAGCAAAGCCTCATACCTTGGACAAGGGCCACTGTTTCAGGACGCTCTTAAGCCCTCTTGAGTCTATCAGCATCTTAGAGGCCTTGGTGCTGAAAACCCCGGCTTGCAATGCCTTTATAAATCTTATAAGGCAAACTTTCAGGAACCGCGTATCTGCTGACCCCTAAAAACTTAAGAGCCAGTGCCATGCAGCACAAATTGGTTGGAGTTCGTTCCATCACTGAAGCATGTTGTGGATTTCTGGTTGAAGTCGCAACAATGGTCTGGTAGGAGATGTTTCCTGTTTTTGTTCACGTATGTTTTAGAAGGCATGCGAATTTATAGCACATCGCAGCACTGGCTCTAGCACTTGAGTCTTCTGGGGGAGTTTATGCCTTGGCTAGCCCTCTATGCCTTGGCACCTCCGGGCTAGCCGCGAAGCCTCACAGATCCAATACGGTATAAAAGAGAGAAGCAAGTGGTAGAGCAGTGCAAGCCTTTCTAGAACTGACTTGCAGGTTGAAGAAGTCTTGGAGATTGGTGCGCGACCACTGATTGGAGCCGTTTTTCTCGTATGTGCACTTGTCCCTGGATCGACGAAATATCACTTCGGAGTTTGTATGATTTTTACTGAAGATGCACATCAGCACCGTGGGATGGGCATCACGCATCATGCATGATTACATTTCGCCTCAAAGCCTTTTCAACTACCGAAATAGCAATCTGTTTTGCATGCGGCAGGACGCGGGTTTTACACAGAATGTGTCGGCTGGCATGCAGGCTCGACAAGACCAGCTATCAAGTAGGGGTTGTGTGCTCATTTACATCTCTCCATGGTTTTTGGCCCGGCGCCGGTTGCGACATGTTTCTGGCTGCAAGAACTTTTGCTAGCCAGCCAAGCAGATGCTGTTCGAGAAGCGGCTTCTGCGAAGGACTTTGAACCACAGATGGCATCGCAACCAACACACAGCCCTTCCTTGTCGGACCAGGGTTGCCACAACCGTGTCTGCTGGCAAAACGCGGAGCGTAAGAGTCTGGGACAGTTCGGCTTCAGGGTGCCCGAGGGCTTCTTCTTACCGCATCCGTCCAGGCACCATGCTCTGTTGGGCGATGGCGTGGAGAGTTGTGACGCGGGCCACGCGACAGTCCTGGACGCTTGGGTGACGCTTTGGCTGGACGAGCTGGACCCTGTGCACAATTCCAGTATCTTTGTCTACCTGGACCCCCTGGCAGTGGCCCGACACCAGCAACTAAAACATCGCGGTGTGATCTGCAGTTCGCCACAAGCAACAGAAAGCAGCCGTTGTCTCTGCCGCCTCCAGTTTGAAAAGTGGGAGTGGAACCTCTTTGATGTGCTCCACAAACCATTGGCTGCAATGGAGCGCGCGGATGCAGACCGTCAGATGGAGAGGAAGGTTCTTAAAGTCCAAGCACAGTGTCCGGCGAAGTTCTCGAACATGCTAGCAGTGTTTGCAGTGATTTTTAGTAGTTTGCTTCTCGTCCTCCTCCTGTACATGGGCTACGTTGCTGTGCAGATGGCGCAGCTGGGCTTACAGCAATGGCACGAGAACGCAGGCCACCGGACAAATTGAGGGAATGCGTCAGGCACCAACCTATGTCTTATGTCATACTCGAAGCTGCAAGCCTCTTACAGCTTTATGGGCTTCGGGTCGACACAGACATTTTTTCAGGGGGCGATATTTAGCACTGGCAGGTGTGAGTGCAGATGAGACTGCGCTTGTGGTTCCTGATGCGATCTCGCATTTCAAAGATGGTGCCATGCAGATTTTGCGCCTCAGTACGTTGCTTGTTTGAAAAGTCATTTAGAATTGGGGCTCTTTAGCTTAGAGCATCGAGGATTGGATTGTCGTCAGAATACGAAAGCTAATGGTTGTGTGTGTCTGCCAATACTGTGCTCGGCCTCGCAAGAGGCTCATGATGTCGCTGCAGTGGACAATCCTGGACCACATCAAGAAGGAGGCTGATCTCACCATCATGGCTTTCGTGGCGCTTTGGCCCCTGTTCTTTGGGATCTTCGGAATCCTGAGGCGACTTCAAAACCGGCCAAAACCTCCACGCATTTGAGCTTTGATGCTTGAGGCAGCTTGTTCATAGCATGGCTCAGAAGCATGGCAAAGCTACTGTTGCAGGAGCATCCAATCCTTGTGCCAACGGCAGCTGGCCCACGCAGCCCTCTCCCACGGCGTTTGCTTGACGGGCTCCAGGCCGCTCAACATTTACGACGGCCTTACAGGTGCAAGGGATGCAAGGGGTGGTTGGGGGGGTGGGTCCAAAACGAAGGGACAATAACTTACATCAAGTTAAAGGCTTTCCGTGGAACCTAGCGTACATCCTCCATACCGGGATAACTGTGATCCTTTGGTCAGGAATCGGGATGCTGCTCCTGGCTTGCTGTGTTGCGGTTGGCTTGGGCAAAGCCGGGCTGTTTGCTACCTGCGCACTGGTTGTCGCTCTGTGCCTTCGCATGGATCTTTCCAGCAAGAGCCATGAGCGGTCTTGGTCAGTGTGCAGTGTATGTGGTGAAGAGATTTCACGCGTCGTTCTGGCTCTTCAACCTCCCATCACAGGTTCTCCGGACCTGCGCTCAGCATTGTGGGCGAACTTCAGCAAGCCCGAGCCGCCGACCAGGGAGTTATTGCTATGCTGGGTGGGCACCGAATGCCAGGTCTCCTGAAACTGCTGCTCGCCTGTTGTAGGAACAGGGGGCCTGTGGTGTTGTAGGGGCAAGGCACTGGGAACGCAAACTGGAGGGGGTTAGTGAGTCCCTGCAGTCTGGATTCTGTGATGTCAATGTACAGCCTGCTAAACCCCAAGCTCCTTTGTGGCAAGATTCCACCGTGTTCGCGCGCCCGCTGGTGATGGCAAGCCGACCCAGACTGGACCCATCCTGGAGGACTGGGGCTGACGGGCCGTGGCTTCTGCTCAAACACGCCTCGGGTATAGCTGAGAGCCCCCTATTCAGAACAAGGCGCCAGCAGTTGACCCAAGACCTTCGAAGTTCTTCTCGCCGTCGCTTTCCTTCTTAACAAGAGCCTCTGATTTCTGTCCGGAGCTTTGGACTTTAGACGCTCGCATCTGCGAGCTGCAAAGTTGGTACAGAAAAGCGGGACCCAAACAGACTCATCACGGCGGACCAGCCCTTGCACCATCTAATTGGATTGCCGTTGAGGGCCGGTTGCTGCAAAGAAGTCCCTACGAGAATTATTAAGTGTCGGATAATGTCGGCCTGGCTGCGGAGAGTTCGACACCCTTTACCAGGAGTGCTTTAACGAAGCTGAAGAAGCATCACAACACAGAGTTAGTTTGCTGTTGTAGCTCCTCGGAGTGCGCGCAAAGAGGAGAAGCTCGTGCACGGAGAGGTTCGCTTGCTTCCCTTCAGTGCCGTGGTCGCTGCCGGCCAGAGCCTCACCGGCTGAGATAGACTGAGGTGATCCAGGGTAAAGTATGTGTGAGTTTCTCCTGGCACGGCAAGTCTGAGTGAAATTGTTTAGTATTTGTAATGTTGCCCTTTCGGCTAAAGGGCCCTAGACTCGCAATTAGCCTTGCTTTCGCAGTGTGGAAAAGGAGCACTCGACCGAACTCAAATTGGTAACGGAGCGGGCAGGTGGGACCCCTCTTGCGATGAGCATCTCCAGGGCCGGGGCGAGCCCAGTTGACGAGGATGCATCATGAGCTGCGAACCTCACGGCTTCCCGCTGGACCCGCAGGGCCCTCCGACGCAAAACATGAGGTACTGGGCCAGACCTCATGGAGGCGCTATACCCAAGCACAAGCCCTGGACAGCTGGCAGGAGACTGTGTTCCCGAGATCCTCAGAGGAGCCTTTAAGGAACCAGTTCGTGGTCCTGGAAAGACCCTAACAAGGGTCTTTCCAGGCAGTGCTCCGACCTAGTCTGCACCAGCCAGAAGTCCAAGGCCGGCGCGTTCGCGTCCGAACATGCCTCTGGCCCTCCTTGTGCAAGAGAAACGTTATTCCCACCTCCACAGCAAACAGAAAGGCGCCCGCCTTCCACTGCAAAAAAACTGCCACAACAAAAACAGTCTTACCTAGATCATCCCAGATAATCAGTAGGTTTGGACAGAGCCAAGCTTCAAAAGGGCAGTACGCACACTACTTGCACTCACATGAACCAACGCTGAGTGTTTAAGCTCAGGTCGTAGTCGTACGTAGTGTGTAGGTACCCAACGGACATAACTCTACGTACTGATGTCAGGTTTTGTGATCCAGGGGGCGTAGTGGGTAGGTTGAGCCAGTGTTGCAACAATGTCTCACAGACAAGACTGAGTGCGAATTGTCCCTCTGTTTGACGCCTGCGTGAGGTTGTTAAGGATTTGTACTTTGCCACTTCGGCGAAAGGGCCCTTGAGTCATAGCAGTGCTTGCGCAGTTTGGGAAAAAGGCACGTCCGGCCAAGTTCAAAATATGCTAATTGATTGTATATTCACGTATACTGTAGGCAAGACTAACGTCAGCAAACAAGCCATTGAAACCTAAGACTCTCCATGCCACGAAGATTGAGCACTTTGTTTTCCAGAGGCATTGTATTGGTGCAGAGGACATGCGACTAAGCATCGCCCAACGTCATTTGAACGTTTTCCTGAGGCCGAGCGTCGCAGGACATAATGGAGGCACTTCGGGAAGAGCCGGCCTCGCAAGCCGGTCCAGGGCACTTTTGCTGCAGTACCTAAAGTTCGAGATAGTTCGAGTAAACCGTGTGAGATAAAAAGCTTTGCTAGCCACTGCTGGCCCGAGCCTTTCGCGACTAGGGCTGCGGGTTCCACGTGTCTTGTGTCTTACAGCTCCTCGCTCTGCTGTTCGAGAAAGTCAGCTTACAAACACGCTGGCAGCAGTTAGTCGTACATTGCAAGAGACACAGCGGTCGTACTGAAATTTAGCCAGAACCCTGAGACTGAAGAAGCAAGGTTGATGTTACACGTGGTCCCAGGTTCAACGTTCTACGAGATTGGCACTGGCACGGCGCCGCCGTGTATACAATGTCACGCTCCCATGCAGGCGGGGTCCTGACATGTGCAGCTTCCCTGCCCGCTAGGGACCGACAGGCCTGCAGCCTCAGGCGTGTGCATAACTACTTTGACCCCATCAGGTATCAAACCATTAACTTCGTGACTTAGACGTAGCTTGGTAAACAGTCCAGTCTTGTTTGTGCACGAGGCTTCCTCATCTTGCCTTTGCTGTTGCTGCCCACCCTCGCCATGCTGGGATCAGCTTTCTTTCAGGCCTGGCAGGGTCGGTGTTGTTCTGCAAGTCCCACCACAGAAGCCAGCATTGTATAATGCTGTATATTTATTTCCCATTGTCCAGCTCTGCGATGTGCCGCAAAAGTTCGACCCCCTCTTTTCATGAGGCGATGGTGTTCCTGTGTGACGTCCCGGAGCTTTCTCAGCTGGGCCTGGCATACCCGGACCGTGGTCCTACACCATATATTTAGAATTCAGCACAGTGCAGTTGGCTTGAGTGAGGATGCATGCAAGAATCCACGACAGGAGCACGGGCTCGAGTTCCGGCCCTGGATGCATCACTACAGTGTTCCGTTGGATGCCAGCTTCAAGGAAGCCTTCGTGGCTTCCCGGCTGGAATCCGCTGTCCCAGATCCTGTGAAAACTTGCACGCCGCGTGCTGTTCTGAGATTGGGTTGCTCCGGACTGCTTTGCACCGATTGAAATAGATGTTGTGCATTGCATCAATTGCATGCTTAACTGCGTGTTCCTCGCTTGTCAGGTAGCTTCTGCAGAAGCCTCCAGCACGACAAGCCTTGAGATCTGCAGCACTGCAGGTTGCAACAAGTCTCGTGTGGCAGCCATCTTCGGGACTGTGGAGCTGCTGAATATGCCACTGCCACACGTGGCGAGGGTGCGACAGCGAGGTCTGCAGGAGAAGATGGCAGACTACAACGTTGCCTTTGTGCCTCTCACCACTCTGGCCACACGCATCACGATCGCAGTCGAGTCGACAGGTTTCGAGCGCAACCTGTCCTGGAGCGAGGTCCCAGGCCTGAGCATCTGCTTTTGTAAGACACTGTCTAAAGATCGGTAAAGTGGCAAAGTAAGGGTATGCGTTTGGGGAAGGGGGGCGGGAAACACAGCACTCTGGTTTTCTCGGCAGGCGCAGTGCTGAGCCTGCAAGCAGAGAAGACCAGCAACTTATCGATTAACATTTACCTCACCGACTACGAGCTGGGTGTTCCGCAGCCCTGTCAGCGGAATCAGTGGAATGGTTCTGACTCAGTCCACGGCGTCCTCACAGAGTTCTGCCCCTTCAACTCCCAGATGCCATGTGGTGACGAAAGCGATGACCGCGAAACATGCTGCCGAGAGCATTGCCGTCATGACCCTTTCTGCTTGGTTGCCAATGCCGGAACTGCAGGCTGCTTCCGAGCACACATGGCAGCCACTGAGCTGCAACCAGTGGAAGGCCGCCAGTGGTTGAATCGAAGCATCAGCGGCCAGATTTGCAACTTGAAGGATGCTGAGGGCCAGCAATGCGCGAAGGCCACGGCGGATAGTATGCATGTGCTCCGCTTTCGCAACCTGCAGCCGGACTGGCTGAACTCCCAGGCGCGGCTCAAACTGGCCTTAGCCTTGGCCAGCGGCCAGCAGCAAGTTTTCAACCAGGCAGAGGACATGCAAGTACGCAGGGCGACTCCAGAAGTACTGGAGGTGCTGGTGAACTTAACAAGCCAAAGCCGGAACAGCCAGCCCGAGTTGGAAAGCACAGACGGCACGGAGGCTATCATGACTTACCTGACCGCTGAGGCTAGGATCAACGAGGAGCAGGACGTTGAAGTGACCATCATGCCCTTTGAACCACACGCGGTAGATCAGCTGGTGCTCTATTTGGCTGTGCTGTTGAAGGACGGTGGTGAGTTCCAGACAGAGTGGACCGGCACCGAAGCCGAGCAAGCCAATCAGGCGGAAGTGACCTTCCAGCAGTGCGACGGCAGCCTTTTTCTTCAGCACCGCTTCGAAATCTGCCGGCGAGCCAGGGGCTTTGCCGGCGGCTGGGCTGCCTCGGTTATCAAGGTCGTTGTCCCAGCCTGGAGCCCAGAAGACGTTCAACTCACTTTCCAGATCCATCCGAAAGATCCAGCAAAGTGGGGCGCCATCCCCGGCGAAGAGAAGGCTGCAACCCACCGTGTCAAGATCAATTTGCATGATGCCGACAGCGTTGGTTTGTGGGCCATCGCGCCGGACTCTGACTCGGAAGAGCGATGCCGCTTCCTTGCAGATCCCGCAGATGTGGCGAGCACAAATGCTTCTGGACTTCATCCAGTCTCTCTGTACGATGTGGAACACACCCTGCTTCTCGATCCAAAGCAATTTCCTATTCTTGCAGCGGTTGTTCAAGGCGCAGCGTGCACCTACGTACACCGGAAGTGCGCCAGGGTTCACTCAATGGCATTTGGCTCTGTACTTTTGGAGCCGCTGGTGCATCAGTTTTATCTTCGGCAGTGCATATTGGACCAGCTGGGATCGCTGCACCGGAGCCTTGACAGTTGGACGGCACGTAGACAAAATGCTCCGATCCTGTGGCGGTTTCTGCGCTGCAGCGCTCAGGCTGAAGGCTTTCACAGTGTGGCGAAGCGTTGCGCTGCCTGCCAGGTAGGTACACCAAGCGAGCGGCATCACTATTCAGACATCTTATGCTGCAAGTGCAATGTCCAAAGTCCCGGGGGTTATTCAAAATGGGGTCTCGAAGCCAGCGAGCTGTTTGGAATCTTGCCTCCGCAACCGGATGAGACCGATGCCAGCTTGGTGAATCTCACATGCAGCACCCTTCCATACAACGCTTCCAAGGCCGAGTTCGAAGAAAACATGTTGAGAGCTGCCGTGGAAACATCGAATTTGCAAGCAGTGAAGCTTGCCTTGATGTACTGCGCTTCAAATGTCAGCGCCAAAGATGCCGCTCAGCTGTGGCGCTTGTTGCGGGTTGGCCTCGATGTTGTGGGCTTGGTTTGGGACGACTTTCCAAATCTTGTGGGCCCATTGCTTCAGGCAGCGTTGGATGATGATTGTGAGCCATGCCTCGCAGCTGTACACTCAAATCTACAGCGGCGTGAACATTGTCTCCGGACAGACTGGCAACACAAAAACATGTCCCTCCAGTTCACTGCCGCGCCTCATTACACTCAAGGTTTTCAACTCGACCAGCTGATTCCGGACGACATTGCCTCCTCCAATGGGCTACTGTCAAGACTGGTTACCGAGCCATGCATCCGAAGCAGGCTTGTCGATCTGAGCCTTCAGTTCCCAGAAGGGATGAGCAACAATTCTGACAAGCAGATTGCGGCCACCTTCAATCTGCTTCCATCACAGGTTGCATCCCTGCAAATTGCCCACCTAGGTTTCCCAAGCCTGCGACTGGAGGATGAAGTCCTCTTGGCGCTGTGTCAGCTGCCCAAGCTCCGCTCCCTGATGCTGGACGATACATACTTGTCCTATGCGGCCGTGACCAGGCTGGGTCAGATGCTGGCTAACAGCACCTGGCCAGAGCTCACGGAGTTGGTTCTGGGTCAAAATACCGCTGGCTTCGGGTTTTTTGAGGGCCCCTCGTTCGCGGTGAAGCTGGTTCCGGCCCTGGGTAGCTTGCCGACCTGCCATGTGAGGAAGTTCTCGATACAGGAGGGCTGCAGGGGCGAGGTGGAGGCGGACCTCATGAGCATCTTTCATGGACTGGCCCACTGCAAAGGTCTGACACATGTGAACATCTGCCAAAGTGAATACTGCAACATAAGCCGAGAGACCCGGCTGGAGGTGCAGCAGGCACTGCCTCAGTGGCCAAGCCTGCAAGATCTTAGATTCTGCGACTGCACGTTTCGCGACGACTACTTTCATTGTATGAACGACATGATCGGTTTTGATGATGAAGATGAAGACGAAGATTGGGATGAAGATGAAGACGAAGACTTGGAAGATGAAACCGTGGCCAGCACGACAATCTACAATAATTAACGAGGACAAGGACTGAGCCTGGTAGTGTCGTGTAGGTGCTCAGGGTGACCTGTGGACATGCCTTCGCTTCATCCAGAAATTCATGAGTTCGTCCACGCATGCCACACTGTCTGTTCCTAATCACCACGCGCTACTCTTGCAATCACACTACTTTCTACCGCAATTGTCACTCTCCTTGGAAGCTCCATCCAGTTCCGTGGCGTGCTTTCGTTTTCCAGCTGTAGATGCCTGGGTGGGCTTAGATGCCTGATGTGTGGAACTGCAGTGGTTGTTAGGCCGGAGGCTGGGATGACGTTGATAGCAGTCTGCGTTACTATAGTATCATAGTATCATTGTAGTTTTACTAGAGTACTTCTAGTAATATCGTATATCACGTGATTGACTCCAGTGGGATTCGATGATTTCGCTTGAAATCTCAGGGACACACGTTTGCGTTCAAGGTTCAAGGCTGGGAGTCGATTTTGCTGGAGGCTTGGGGACACCTTGGGCAGCGAACTGTTTGAGTGTTCTTGGCCTGTTGCGCTGCAGCAAAGCCACGCCAAGCCCCCGAAGTCCGATCTACATGTTTCAGGAATGAGTGCAAGCCCGGAAGCCCGAACTCGAAAAAGCCCACAGGGCCGAAACCCTGAAGCGTGCTTCCAGGAACATGCCCTGTGGAATCTCAAATAGCACCCCCGCCAGCATACACCATGCTCCGTTCATAAGCAGTTCAGCAGGGTTGTACTGCAACATGTCGACGATCTGCGTGAAGCTTGTGGATGGGTTGCGCCAGTTAGCAAAGCAAAGAGAGCATTGAATTAGCACCTTGACGAAGTTTGAGGAGGCCACCTTGTGAGTACTCAAATGTTTCTGCAGGAAGTCAAGCCTCCAGCACCTCGGCATCTTTGCAGCTGCAAAGGATCAGCTGAAACTCGCAACGCCTGAGCCTTTAAGATAAGTCCACACAGGGCAGGCATGCCAACAGTTTCACCAGACGTGTGATCTGTCAATGCCGTGAAACAAAGCCGAGCGCATTGAGATCGTGCCAGCAAGAGACCTCGAAACTCCAGTGGAAGGAATCCGGACCTGGACTTTTCAATGCTCCCGTACAGATTTTCCGCAACCAATAGTTCTCATCTGTCTCGTGCTTGTCTGTAGCTTTCCCAAGCCTGCCACACAAGTGGGTCCCAGCTTATCTAACTGTCTGGTGGCAGTTGCAAAAACTCTCCCCTCGCATGACTTCGTGAGGACGCGGCAGGCGCGGGGCCAAGGAATTGGAATCGCTTGATTCTGCTATCCCGTCCAGCAGCCGCCGAATCCGCGTACAGAGGAACCGCGTGCAATGGCAGTGGTCGTTTCAACGCTGTTTGGGATTCAGCTGGCTCTGTCCTCTGCATCCCCAGCCCGCGTCGGTGATCCTCAGTGTTGGGAAGGTTCTGGGGATGACCGAAGAATGGCTTGTTGTTCGGATGCCATGGCGTTCTTGCGGCTGAACTGCGGGAAGGAGGGCTTCGGTTTTGAGAGGTGCTGTTTCGACGTGGGGAACTCAGGCGAGGTCTGCGGCCGCAGCCGCTCCCAGTTCGGGGAGGAACTTTCCGTCATTCGGCTTCTCGGATGGCAGATGAAGCGAGATGGGATTTACGTGGAGATGGGCGCGTTCGACGGCGTCACCTACTCAAACACGCTCGCATTGCAAACTTGCCTGGGCTGGACCGGGATGTTGATAGAAGGCAGTCCCCGCCATTTTCAAAGGTTGCACGAGAATTATAAGGATGTCGAGAATGTGATTCTGAAGTACGGGGCGGTGTGTGCACCTCCTCTCACGAACGCGACGTTCAGCCAAGGCATGAACCGAGGTTCTATCGATGGAGACGTGACGTATCTGCCTGCAGGGCTTCGTAAACGATTTTTCTACCGCCGCCAGCGAGTCGTTGTACCTTGCCGACCCATGGAATGGTATCTTCAGCAACTCCCGAAAAAACATGTGGACTTCATGTCCTTGGATGTTGAAGGTGCCGAGCTGGAAGTTCTCCTCACCATGGATTTCGCTGACGTATTGGTGGAAGTGTTCTTAATCGAGCTGCATGACTGGGGCAGATCCGAGCAAGCGCAAAGCTGGAAAATTCGAAAGTTGATGGGTAACTTTGGCTACAAGGAATGCACGAACGTCCATGTTTGGCCGAATGGACTTTTCGTCCTCCGAGAAGGACCATACGCAAGCAGATGCTCGTAAGAATATCAAGTCTCCAGTTCAGCCCTCACAGTGTGGACGCGCCAGGCAAGAGGGCTTGCATGGGGACCTGGGGAGCACGAGCACCGTGGCCTGAGGATGTGCATCCACACAGTCGCTGCTGAGACCGTCCTGAGCTCGTGAAAGGCAGCTCCGGGCGTGAATGGGGTGCGGAGATTGTTGCAAATCCAGCCATGCGACAAGAGTGGTTCGGTTCACAGGTGGGCCGTGGTTTGGGGCGGCAGGATCGACAGCTTGTGCGTGAGGGTGAGGACTCGGTGAGGGTCGCGTAGAAGATCCGAGCTTTTCCGGTACGAAGCTTCTTCCCTGGAAGCCGGGTTGCCAGTGTGCCAGCAGGAGAAAAGCCCAACAAGCTACATAGGTGTTACTGACACTTGTGAAAGCATGTCCCGCCAAGCCAGACGTCATGATCAGCTGCCCTTGCCATTTGCGGCTGAAGCTGCGGCGACCTACCCATTCGATACCGAACCCGCATGCTGTTGATCGCGGGGCGCTGAGGTGCTCCGAATCGGGAGCCTCCGGCTGTCGTAACATGTCGGAGGAAGGCTCTCCCAATAAACAGCCCTGTATACATATACATTGTGTATAGATTATATATATATGTGTACAAATTCAAATTTTTTTTTTTACAAAATGATATGCATATATGTATATATACATACACTATATATATATATATATACATATACATATACATATACATATATGTATATATTTATTCATAGCTGCACAAGTTCCAGAAACCCAGACTCCTAGAACTCCTCTTTCCGCTGAGCGAGGTCACTGCAAAATGAAATCGATGCTGGCCCGGGGCCTAGCCTCGGAGAGTACTCTGCCGAAGTTGAGACATAGGGTGCCAATTGGGGACTTAATTGGAGTCATCTCAGTCGTCTTGTTAGCTTCCATATGTCTGCAACGCCGAGCTTTGGTCCTCCGCCTCTCCTTTCCTCGGTTCCGAGGTTGGATTTCCGCATGCAATCCTCCTCTGCTTCGCTATCACCGTTTGTGCCACGGAGCACTGTGAAGAGGACGAGCCGCCCCGAAATCCCGAGGCCAAACAAAGCCCACAAGGCCCCAACTCCCTCTGAGCCCTACGCCTGGAACCTGAAGCGCAGTAGTATACCGTGAACTTTCCGCGATGCTGCCGGTGAGAGTTTCGGGGGCTTGGAGTGGAGCCTTGAGAGCGTCTCAGGAGCACAGCACCTTCCAGCTGCTGCAAGTCAGCCAGGCGGTTCCTCCACGAGAGCCTCTGGGGGGTAGGGATTTAGGAAAGCTCCGGTAGGCGCTTTCGGCATGGGCTTTCCGGATGGCAGAGCGGTTCTTGGGGATTTGGGGTTTGGGACAGTTTGGGAGTCTGGGGGTTCGGCCATCCTGCTTCGGTTCTTCAGGATTCGGCTTTCGTTTCTCTTTGCCTACTCTCCCAGCATTTCTCTTCCTGACGCCCTAGGACTTGCCCTCCAGTGATCCGAAAACTCCAGGCGCTCGACGTCCCTGCAGAGCATGTAGAAGCTCAGCGGGAAGATGACCTGCGCCCAGAGATCTTCGTGACAAGGATAGATCGCTCCCCCCTGTTCAGTAGCGCTGCAGTCAGCAAAGGCACATTCCAAGGGCGCCGGGTTTTGTGGATCGATGCTCTGTCACTTCGCCCGAAGAGTTCCGAGAGTGCGGAAGATCCGAGAGCCAAGGTCGCGCAGGGCTTCTTCCATGCCGTTGGCTCGGCCGAAGCAGCAGCCGTCCTGCCGCTTCGCCTGACATTTCAGATTCCATTATGGTCATCATGGTCGTACGGATATGCTAATCTAGAACCCCTAAACACTAGGATCCTGAAAAAAAAGATCGACAGCCCGATTTTGTGAGACTCCAACGTTGTAATCTGTGGCACGCTCCGACTCCGATGAAAACTCTTCTCCACGAGCGGCGCTAAAGAAGCATACCCGGAGCGCTTAACCTGAAAGTAGAGTGGCCCTTCATGGCCCTGACAAGTTCAAGTAAGGCCTAACCGACAAGAGCTCTTAAAACAAACACAGTAACTTCAAGTAATCCTTCGGTTGTTGGGTTTGGGGTTTGGACTTACGGGTTTCGGGTAGGGCCGCGTTGGGTTCAGCATTGCAGCTCCCAGGCAGCCGGGACTCATCGCCGAGCGCACCTTTGAGGCAGCCCTTCCACCGGAGCTCCCCTGTTATCTTATATTGTATCATAAAGAACCACATTATATTTCAGTACAGCATATTGTGATGTATCACATCAAGAAGACTTATAAGAATCCGAATGGCAGTAGACCTGAACACGCAACCGCTGATGTTTCGTCTGGACGCCAGGAGGTCTTCGTCACAGCCTCCTCGAGGCAGCAGCAGCCCGTGGCACTGACCCAGAAGAGCGCCCGGCCACCCGAGAGAGGGTCAACGATTGAGGGGTATATAAGCGAATACAAGCAATATGAAATCGTTAGAAGATGTTCGACTCGTTGTTGCAGCGTGAGGGAGCGTGGTGCCCCAACGTGTGTGGCACTTTTCCCTCCTGGAATCGAAGGCTCAAGCTTCTTTGTTGTCACTCTTTGTCTTGTCGCCATCCATTGTCGCCGAATCCGTAGGGTAACCACTTCGAAAACTTTTTGACGGGTTGTTATTATATAATAACACCTAAACCGCCTCAATGAAGCCTTCTAAGCCCCGCGAAAACGCTCCAAAGGCGTCGTCGCAAGGCGAGGCCTTTGAAAAACACCCAATAGATCCTTCATAGAACCCGCTTAGAATCCCTTATGAAGGATCCCTTATAGACCCCTTATCCCTAAACCCTAAACCCTTACCTCCGAGTCTCCGAGGCCGAAGCTGCTGTGGGAACGGAGACCATCTGCATCATCGTGTCCGGGGCCTCGGGGATCCCTTCTGGGATCTTTCCTGGGGCTACCTTATCTTGGGGTCCCTATAATGAGGATCCTGCTACTTAGGGTACTTTTCTATGGGTCCCCTATTTCGGGGATTGCTTAGGGGTTCCTTGGCGGGGGGTCTATGGGGTTGAGGAATTCCGGGCTTGCTTGTGTTTGTTTCATTGCGAAGCATACGTAGCATAAGACTATAGTGTCCAGGCAGGTCGGACAGCCGGGTTTCTCTTTCCTTTCCGTGTCTCGTTGTGCTTCAAGGGTTACAAGACTGGCCGAAGCTTCCATCGTGTTTGATTGAATCGGGTCGCGGTGCGACGGGCTCATCGTGTCAATAGTCTCCACAACACCAATTCGGTTAAGTTAGGAAGAGTTCCTGAACCTCGCCTCCGACAGTCAATGGCACGTCGGAGTAGCTCGGTGCGACACAAACTCCGGAGTTCCAAGGGGTGCCGTCCTCCTGGCGGTTCTGGTTTGCCTGATCTTCTGCTGCTTCCGCCCCTCTGTGTCCTACGAAGAGGCGGGGTGGGGTTCCCGAGCTTGACAGCAACTCCAATTCAATCACTCCTTATTGCAGCAGAGCCCTGGAACGGAGGCCCCAGGTCCCTTTGCCGTCCACACCTCCCAAGCCGCAGCAGCCCCCCGAACCCAAGGTAGGTCTTCAACTCCCGGAACCGTCTTGTCACTGCCTCACACGACCCCCCGCAATAAAAAGTAAGGAGGATCACTAAACCCGAAACCAAATCCTAAACCCGAAACGCCAAAGCAATCCTAAACCTTAAACCCTCCGAACAAAAACCTAAGCCTTATATAACCCCCTTAGAAGAATCCTAAGGCCCTATATACCCCCCCTAAGAAAGAATCACCAAGGCCCTTTATAACCCCGCAAAAAGAGAATCCTAAGCCCAACCCCGCAAGAGAGAATCATCCTTAAGGGATCCTTAAGGGGTTGCTATAAGGGTACTACAATGTAGGGGCCCCGAAGCCCTGAACCCTAAACCCTGTATAACCCCCCTAAAAAAGTGAATCCCTAAGCCCGAAAAAGCCCCTTTCTCTGAGGCGAGCTAACCCCAAGAAGGAATCCTAAGCCCAAAGCCCCAAGAGAGACTCATCCCAAGCCCAAAAAAGCCCCTTTGAGGCGAGCCTAAAGGGATCCTTAAGGGTTTATTAATAAGGGTACTCTGATATCTAGGGGCCCCTAAGCCCTAAACCCTAAACCCTAAAACCCTAAACCCTAAACCCTAAAACCCTAAACCCTAAACCCTAAACCCTAAACCCTAAAACCCTAAAGAAAACCCTAAACCCTAAACCCTAAACCCTGTCTTTGAGGCGAGCAAGGAGGGCCAGGGCGCCTTTATCCCCGCGGGCGCCGCGGCGCTCCAGCGGCCCGGAGCCTCGGAGTTCTGGGGATGCAAAGGGGATGGATCGGAAGGGGGCAGGAGAGTAGGGTATCTTATATCTGTATGTCACTATATATATATATATATAGGTATATAGGTATAAGTATATTATACTATAGTAATTTCATGATATTGTAGTGTATTGCTCTTTTAGGTCATGTCATCAATACTCTAGTAGTTATAATATGATCTAGTATAGTGTTCTGGTGTATCATGTCATCCTTTTTCATATTCTGCTACAGTATAGTGTCTTATTATCAGGATCCTAAACTACACCCTAAACCCTAAATCCCAAAGGGGTGAGCATTCCTTGCTTCGTCTTTTTGGTGTCGCTCCTCTCGGATCTGCTTCTTGTGCGGGATTCGGACTTGATGGCCTGTGTGTTGGGGTTGAGGGGCTTGCCTTTGCCACAGAGTGTCTTCTCATCCCTAGCCAAGGTCTTGATGCCATATCATGACAGCAGCTGTCACGCCTGAATGCACCCAGAACCCGAACACCTATTTTCACACACGCGCTCTCTCGCTCTCTCGCTCTCTCGCTCTCTCGCTCTCTCTCTCTATCGCTCCCTCCCCGCCCAGGCGTCCTCAGAACCAAGACTGCTGCTGACCTGCCGACATCCGCGTGCGGGGCGCGGGCGCGTGTGGGAGCAAAAGGAAGCGTCAGGGAGCTGGCAGCTGGCCCGTCACGTCGTCTACACTCTACACTTGATATCATGCTTTTGGGTTGGGTATCTGAGACAGATAGATAGATAAATAGATCTACTGTAACAATGTGTCCTGCACTGACTGTGTTCTGTCCCCAAAATGCAGTCGCCCTGGCTTGAAGCTCTTAAAGGCATTGGCAACCGTGATTGTAAGCCTACCTTCACTTTTCCTCCGAAGCCACCGACCCTTGGCCCCACAAATCCCGCCAGCTTTGAACCCGAAAGGTGCACAAACCCACCAGCCCCAAGCCCCATAGCCCCATAGCCCCATAGCCCCAGCCCCAGCCCCTGCCTCCTCACGCCTGCATATGTGGGAAGTTGCGTGAACCTGGGTCCTCCCGGCCGATGCTGCGTGCGGGCCGAGCGGGCGTGCAGCGCAGGGGCCCTGGCAAATTTCAGCACCGGACACCCATCTGCGACATTCTGCGGTGCTGCAGACTCCCCGACTGCAAGTGTACATAACGACCCTGAGTGCGGCGACCCTTGGCCAGACACAAGCTGCCACAGAGAGGGAAAAGGCAATGCAGAAAGGAACTTAGGCTTTCCACCTGGATCGGAACTATTGGGAATTATCGAGAACCACCGGGAGATATTGGGAATTGAACCCAAAGCCCTAGACCGAATTACTGGGAATTCCGAACAAGCCGAAGCTCCGAAGCGGCCGCGAGGCATCGAAGTCTCCAAACAGGGAGCCCCAACCCGTCGTCCGCTGCTCGGAGAGCTCGAAGTGTCAGGGCTTCTGATATATATATATATATATATATATATATATGTACACACACATATACGCATATTCACATAATTTGTATTCATAAACAAACAAATGAATAAATGAATAAGTAAATAAATAAATACAATTATATATACACATACATTCACACATACTTACCATCAACTACACTATATTGGATTATATGATACTGAGATTGTCTCATATGATATGATATGATATGATGCGATATTTAGTGGTATGATATGACATGATATGGTGTGATCTGATGTGATCTGGGATATGATCTGATATGATACATCTTCGTGTTTCTTGTGTCGTCGTCACGGTTGCAACTACTGTTGTTGCTGCTGTACCCGAACCTGCTGTTGGATTGTTCTCGCTTGAGCTGTTGCTGGTGTGAAGAACCGACGGTCACGATAAGGAATACCAAAGATCAATGGAAGAAGATGCCAATGCTGTTATTTCGCCAGAATCGCTGGTTGAAGCTAGGCGAAGAGACGCGCCGAGAAGATGCTGTTTTCTGTGGGGGCAGGGTGTAGGGCGGGGAGTGTATGTGTTCGGATCCTTCAACGCTACACCACACACCCCGAAACCGGGAGACCCAATCTCCACAGATCCCAAACCCCAAACCTCGCGAACGCTCTCCGATTCCGCACCGAGGGGTGGAGCCCCGGCCTCGGTGTCACTGGAGCCTTCGGCTGCTTCTTGGATCGGGGTTTGGGTTTCAGGGGCTCTGAGGGAGTGAGAGTGGTTCCCTTATAGGGTCACCAAGATCCACCCAGTGTCAGGAGCAACATGCTTCAAGACCGCATTAATATCGCAGAATTTTCAGCGACTCACAAAGACCGAAATGTCCGTCGTCGCACTAATAAGACGAAATATGGGAGTTTCCGGATATAGGGGACCCTAATATAGTACCCTAAATACTAGGATCCTTCTTATAAGGACCCCCAAAATAAGGTCCCCCGAATTTCGGAAACCCCCACATGATTTGAATTCAATCAGTGTCGAAAGGCCAAGAAGGGATGGCTCAGGCTGAGTGCTCTCAAAGTCTAAACCTACATCGCAGCTAAACGACTATGTAATGTATCAGGCAACTCGTCTCCCTCAAAGTCTAAAACCGCACGAGATAGCGAGTTTTCGTGGAAAGCAGATCTCTATTATAGAACCCTCACAGGGCAATTTGCCCCAAAACCCTGTGCTGACAATTAATCTCTCTTGTAGAACCCGTTTAGCGAGCCCTTAAAGAACAAAATTCTATTCACTGAGACACCGAAAAAAACCAGGGCAGCGCTTCCATGAAACCCTACCTCCGTGTTCGAGCGACCGAGGTCGAAAGGTCCGGCTGCTGCCACAGCAGAGGCAGAGCTTTACTTGGGAATAGTCTTATCTTTTTGGAGGGCGGGGAAGGGGGGGGCGGGGTTTAAGCTGCCTGGAGTTTTGTTTTGCGTAGCTGTTCTGGAGGGGCGGTTCGTATTGCTTGGGTTTTTGAGGGCGGGTTGCGACATGCCTGGAGTGTTGGGGGATCAAGGTTTGAAGTTTATCGCTTTCTGCAGCAAAGCTTCTCAAGCAGCTGAGATGCAGGGTCGCATGCAACCTGTCTATGCTCCTCCGTACAATCCGGACTACGATCCCTGGCACGAGGATTCGGATGAGTCTGAGTTCCTGTATGGCGAGCCGTCTGAATTCCAGCGTGTGCAGGCAGCCCTGCAAACCGCAGTTCTGGACAGCGCAGAAGCTTCGGACATCGCGAATGCACTGACGCGAACACAATTGCCAGGGCTGGAGAGCATGAGCGTTTCAGCGCTCGAAGCACACATCGCTGATCGTGCCGCAGAGTTGAGAATGCTCGTTACCCAGCTCGAGCGGCTGAAAAGTGCCGAAATCACTTTGGACCTGCTCCTACCATCCGGCCGCTCTTTCACGCAGGTGGTGAAGATGAGGAGCAGGATCTCCGTAATCTGCAAGGCAATCCGGCGCCGCGAAGAGCTGAAAGGCTTGCAAGACGGCCAGGTGAAGCTCGTTTTGGGGACTTTGGAGATGCAGGAAGACAAGACCGTCTTTGACTATGGCCTGGCAGATGGAGATAGCCTCACGGTCGTGTTGCAAGCGGCCCCGCAATTGTCACGATGGTCCCAGCTGTGGCCCCCCGTCCGTCCCAGATTGCCTTGATCCGATCCACGGCTCGATTTCTTTTGGGCGGTTTCGGGGTCTGGCCCTGCACTGCCGTATCATGCCGTGTCACTGCAGCCTCTTGTTCACTTTCGACGATGTCCTGGGTGCCAAAGCCTGCAGCCAAAAACGCTTTGAGCCCGTAGCTCATGCAAGCTGAAGGGGAAAGGTGCCGCAAGGCGCTTGGAGCCCTCCAGGCCATTTTTGGCATCAGGGCCCCTGGGATCCAACTTCTACCCGGACAGTTCCCGAACATTCCCGTGGAGTCGGTAGGCCTTTCCGAAATCCGAGACCCCGATCCCAGAAGCAAACGAGGCCAACAAAGGGTAACCTATCAGCCATCAATCTCCATGTTTTCAAGGCCCCACAACAAGGCAGAAGGGTTTTAACGAGGTCGTTGGGCTCTTTTTCAGGTCCGGGGCTCTGGGTTTCGGGCTCAGGGGGATTTGAGGATCCCCGGGTCTGCAAAAAGAAGCCAAAAAGTAGCAGAAAACGGGAGGCACGATGCTTGCGGTCAGGAGGCTGACACTGCGAGCCGTAGGTAGCGCCTTTCAACCTAAATTTAAAGCCCCGACCTCCCGTGCCAAAGGAAGGAGCCAACCCCACACAAAACTAAACGGCCTGTGCAACAGATCAGATCCTTCAACCAGCCTAAACCCCCTGGCCCCTGAACCCTTACCCCCAAACCCCTGCAACCCTCCTTGTCTAATGCAGAGCCCTCAGCCCTAAACCCTCAAAAAAGCAACTGAAGCCCGAAGTTACCCCCAGAAAAAAAGGGGGCGCCCTTGAGAGGACCGGGTCGGGCTTTTGAGCTTCCGCTCCCTGGCGGAGAAGGTGGGGGGCCACCTCTTCAGAGAAGGGGACAAAGGGGGGGCCCCTGAAGCACCCTTCCTTCTCTTTTTGAGGGATGTTCAGGGTGCAGGATTTGAGGCTCTTCGGAGGGGGAGGGGGTTGGGGACTTTTTTTTCTTTCTCCGTGGTTTGTGGGAGATCGGCCCCAGCTCCAAACGCTTAGCATGAAGTCGACTTGAGCTGAAGGTGGTTGGTCGGTCCATTGGTCGGTTGTTTGGTTGGTTTCCTGGCTACGCAGTATACATCTAGCAATGGCATTCATTATGACACGGATGCGTGGATGGATGGATGGATGGATGGATGGAGGGAGGGAGGGAGGGAGGGAGGGATGGAGGGATGGAGGGATGGAGGGATGGAGGGAGGGAGGGAGGGATGCATGAACCTGTGAGTTGCGCAACGCCTGGGCAACGCCTGCGGTTCGTGGTCTGCTCGGAGTCTCGCTGCAGGCTCCGGCGAGCACTGACGAGCCGGCTGGGGGCGAAGCCGAGGCGTGGGTCGAAGAGCAGGGATTGAAGGTATAAGGGTTCTATTTGGGTCCTATTCGGGTCCTATAAAAGGGTACCATAAGGGTACAAAAAGGTTCCTCCGAAAGGGGGTTCCATAAGGGCACGGGTTTGGGGCTTCCAGCCCTGAAACGTAGGCGCAAGCCCCTGAGCCCGCCGCCTACTCACAGGATGTGCTCGAAAATGGCGACTGGCGCGCCTCCTTCGAGGAGAAGTGGGCTGCTGCCGGGGCCTAGGTACCGGGTCGGAATGATGACAAGAATATCGGCTATCATGATTTTGTATGACAGCTTTCCACACATAGTCGCAGCAGCACCGACAGAAGCTTGAAATCTCTGGTTCGATCGCGTTAAGATGTGTGATTGCCAGTTCGGGGCATTCAAGGCTGTTTGAATTAACGGCCCCGGCCCGAAGTTTCGCCAGCCATGTTCGGGCCAGCATGTCCAAAATCTTAATGGGGGAGGCAGCATTGAGCGTGGTTCTGAGTTCTGAGGCCATGGCACAAATCGACGCGGAAGAGGAGGGTGTGCCGGAGGCCTTTGCTAGTAACGCGCTGTGCGGGTGGTTCTGCAAGTGGACGCAGGACGGCGCCTGTAGTCAGGAAAAAATCGTGCTGGCAGCTCCCAAGCGACGCTCCAGGCAGCGAAGGCTGTGCCCCGAAAGGGCGGCCCCGACACCGCAGGCCGATGCGAGGGACGGGGGCTGGTGGCTGTCATAGTGAGGTCTCCTTTGCGACTTCGTGTCCCCCAACCTACTCTGGGCCCTGAGCTCTCTGCAAAAAAGAGACGAGACCCAAAGGGCCCTGCAGCTGCTTAAAGCCCAAGGAAGCCCAAGAGGTTAACGAACCTGCAAACCCTAAACCCCCAAAACCCCAAACCCCAAACCTCAAACTGAATATTAGTAACATTATTCCAATTATGGTTCGTAGTGTTCTTATCAGCCTTGACCACAAACTCCCCAAAAGCCCCAGAGCGCCGGGCCCAGAAGCTGAGTTTCCCAGCGCCCAGAGGCCCCAGAGCCGAGGAGCCTCCCCAGGCCAGGCGAAGCGTCGCTGAGAGCCCTTTTTTGGTCTCCTTTTCTTTTTGAAGGGAAGGGTGGAAAGGGGGGGAGGGGTTCGGGGTGGTGGGGTTCGGGATTTACTTGGGGGCTGGGGGGGTTTTGGGATGTGGGGTTCAGGGTTCAGCAGTGCATGGTTGTAGTGGCTTTTGTCAGTTAGGGCTTGTTAGGGCCTAGTCTAGGGCCTAGGGCTGGCTGTGCAACGGGTTTGCTGGCTGACCTGCTTCCCGTCTCGATTGATTTCCCGCCAGCTTCCTTCCATGCTCAGCAGTTCGTCTACCCAGATCGGTATGTTCCAGGATGTTCCAGGCTGTCATGTGGGCCAATCTGTTTTGATAGTTCGATTGGAATGCGGCTTTGCACAAGACTGTTGCTTTGGCAGTGTTGCTTTATGCAGGCGCAGCTTAGTGGTCCAATTTTTTTCAGCCCGACTGAAAGCCTTACCTTTGGTTAGTAGGGAATGGAAGCATGGTAGTAATAGTAGTTAAAAATGTACCCCATTCCTCCATCCCTACTAACCAAAGGTAAGAAGCCCCGATCATCCGATCCGGCCCAGAAGCGCCGCCGGGACTCCGTCCCCATCCCTGCCCCGGCAGCGCCTCCGGAGGCTGGACATATAGGGGGGTTAATTTCACTTATAAGTACCATGACTGGGGTTACTAGTAATTATAAGTATAGTTACCTTATTTATAACCCTAGTTACTAAGTCCCATGAATTAAACTGCTCCCAGAAGGGGTCGCCTTCTCTTCCGGCGGCTGGGGATGGGATAGGAGGCGCTGCCCTCGGCTTTTGTGATGTTGGTCTCTGAGCGGGCAGCAGAGCGCGCGAGAGCGCACCTGAAACCCGAGCAGTCGGCCGTTTCTGCCGTGTGTCGGCTCAATCAGATCTCGTAGCGTAGTGTGGTGGAAGGCGCAGAGAGCCAGATGTACCTCAAGGCTTTCTCTTTCTGTATGTTGTGGAGGTGGAGCAGTGCCTACAGCCACGATCAAAGAAGCACAGTCAGCATGGCAAGGCCCCAGTTTAGTCTGGGACCGATAGCCCTCACGTATTGAACCCGGATCGCACTTATGCTGCAGAGCTTTTTAAATGCAACTTGCAGTGACAGGTAAGAAGCCACCCATGTGATGCCCCGAAGTCCTCACCTGTGGCTACTAAGCCCCCTCTGGTCTGCGGCAAGAGACACGGTCTGAGTAATTCAGCGGCCAGCCGCAGAGAGACCTTGCAGCCGGGATCCCGGGGGGGTCTCGGGGCTGCTGCCGGTTCTCTGCGTTGCGGCTTTGGCTTGAGGCTTGAGGTTGAGGGGCTTCAGGGTTGAAGGGCTTTGAGCTCGAGATGAACTGTGAATCCCGGACAAGGGTGGAGGTAAAGGGTAAGGTGCGAATCCCTAAACACCTAAACCCGAAGCCCTGCTCAACCGAGCTTTCTCACCTTAGCTGGATGGAAAAGGGCCTTCAAAAGAAGCCACCCGAAGCCCTATAGACCTCAAACAGCTGTAAATCCTAAACCCACGAAACCCCATGCCTGCCCCAAACGGCAAGAAGTCCCGACGAACGGAAATTTACCAAGGCCATGGTGGAGCTCATGGCAACGATGGGCGCAGCCGCCAAGGACGCCTCCTTGCTGGGGTGCATTTAGACTTTCAATAAGTAGGGGTACCTAATTTGATGTCCGCATGAAAAAATCCTGTACCGATCAAGGGCTTTGTTGGGGTGCATGTGGACTTTCAACAAGGTATAATGTGCCTTGTTTGGTGTCCGTAGTATACTCAGGTGTTGTGCATTAATAGGGGTTCCCTATCGTCTGAAGCTCCCACGGAGGGCATGGCACTCCAATGGTATCGTGACAGGGCAAAGCATCGCTTTGTTTGAAAAAGAAAGACCTTATATGACGAAGGGCACGGGACGCCACCGGATCAGAGTCCAGGCTGTGGTTTAGGAGTTTGAGTTTGAGGGCTTTGGGAGGTAGTGTTCCAGCTGTGATCTGGCAGGAGCTCTTTGACTACAATCGTGAGATGTACGAGTTCGATCAGGCCTGCCGAAGCTGACGGGTGCATCCTCTTGGATCTCGGGGTTTTAGATTCGTGCGTGTTCCTGAGGGTTGTTTGGGGGGAGGCACGCGCCGTTCGCAACAAGAGTTCTGACGGGTGTTGTATGATGATGCAGCCGATCTTCGAGAGGAAGTGCCCTAGAGATTCGTAGACGCTTCGGAGCGACAGAAGTCTTATGGTCTTCGCTGGGGTTCGGCGACTGCGTCTGCATGTGCTCGCTTCCCTGGCCTTGCTTGTGGGCTGGGTCTGGTGGCCCTGGTGGCCCTGGTGGCCCGTGAGCCTTCGCCTCGTGCGGAGCTTCTGCGAGCCTCCGCGCAGACCCCGCGAAGCTCTGAGGCTGGCGAAAAGGGCTCGGGCGAAGCAGGACGTCGACTCCGACGCTTCCGCTTCCGACTTGGAGGAGCTCGATCTGGAGCTGCCGACTTTTGGGGAGAGGAAGTGGAGGAAGGCTCCGTCGTCCTGGCCGGCAGAGGTCGCAGAGCTCTTCGTGCCGCTGGGCCCGCACACTGCGGCCACGCGCTTCGTGGAGACGGCACCGGTGGCTTCCTGGCTCCCGGCCACGTTGTACAACGTGCTCTGCGAGCTGCCGGTGAACGAGTTCGACCTTCAGGCGTGTCTCTACCCGAAGGGCTCCCACCTCTTCACGGCCCCGCAACTGCGAAAGCTGCTGAAGGCCGCAGAGGCCGCAGCGCCCGATCGGGTGCTGGACGTGGGCGCAGGCGACGGCTGCCACACGGCGGTGCTCCGCGAGGTGAGCGAAGAGGTGGTCGCCACGGAGACGTCGCAAGGCATGGCCTGGCAGCTGGAGAGAGAGGGCTACGAGGTCTGGTGCGAGGACGTCTCCGAGACTTGGGCAGAGCGGAGTGCGCGGACGCGACGGCGCGCTTTTTCGCTGGTGTCGATGTTGAACGTGCTGGACCGGTGCGCTGCTCCCAGGAAGCTCCTGGCGGCCGCCAGAGGGATCTTGGAAGAGGGCGGCTTCCTGCTGCTGGCCAGCCCGCTCCCCTTCGCGGCTTCCTACTACGGCCCGGAGACCCGCTGGAACGGGCAACCTTTGGAAGACTTGAGCTTCACTGGCTTCGGCAACTGGGATGAGGATGGGCTGAGACTGGTCCAGGAGTTCCTACCTAGTTGTGGATTTCATGTGAAGGCGCTGAGCAGGTTGCCGTACCTCTCGGGTGGGGATGTCCTAGACGGTGGCTGCATTGAGCTGGATGACATCGTCGTGCTGGCTCAGAAATCAACGACGACCTGAGCTCTGAAACACGACTGAGTGACTGCTGAGCCACACCACAGACGGGACACCGCGACGAAAGAGCTTGCAATCTGGCTGGGATCTGCAAAGGAAATTCCGCAGGCTGCGCGGGAGAAGCACAGGCGTCACAGCCGCATCAACCTGGAGGCAGCTCGTTCAGACGTCACAGGCATTGCGACGCTACGCGAGGGTGACAGCAACTTCTTGGGAAGGTGCTACCGAGAAAAGTTAGGCGATGTACAATGTAGATCAGCGTGCTGGCTCCGCTCAGGTGCTTCCCACCTACACCCTGCAAGGGGCACATGCCAAAATGCCGAGTCTGATTTTCTGCCAATGTTGTTGTCAGAGTTCATCACGGTTCTGTGCTTTTCCACCATGTGTTGGATACTTTTTGTCAGAACCGGCGTGAAGTGCACAAGGAACGGCCTTTGGGATCTGAAACCCCGAGCCCCAACACGAAAGACCGTTTCGAAGCCCTGTGCTCCCAGCCCGGAACTCCCATGCAGGGGCAGCGTCTGGATCGAGAACTGCCAGAGCTTCAGCACACGACTGCCTTCTCAAGCGAGACCTTCGAAGTTTGACGGCTCAGAAAGCCCAAGTAGGCCGCGAAGCCTCGGAGGCTGCAAGGGGCGCCCCCCTGCTGTCCGCGTGTCTGAGGCTGCGCATGGAGATGCAGATCAAACGTTTCCAGCTCTTCCGAGAGGCCCGGGTTTCTGGCAGAAGTTTCGAGGCACAGTTCTGCGAGGCACAGTTTTGCAGGTGTGTGGGGGGCAGAGGGTTCGGTCGCAACATCCTATAACACGCACGGACATGTCTCATGCAATCATACCTTGCCATTATAGTAATATACATATATATATACACATATATATATATATATGTACATATATATATATAGATATAGATTCTAATATAGATATAAACATGGATGCAACAGGTGTGATGGAAAGATTGGCTGGTAGATAGGTAGCTGGATAGATAGATCGACGGGGTTCTAGGCATGCAGGGGGACAGTGAGACAAACAGACAGACAGACACACAGACAGGATACAGAAGTGCAAGACAGTTAGGTAGATAGGTAGATTGGTTGGGGGAGCCAAGTACCCGGACCCTGGACGAACCGAAGCGCCCGGGAGGATGTGCGTGACCTCGTGGAGCTGACTGTGGGGAAGATGGAGATGCGACCCAGCAGATGTTCGAAGGTTCTCTTACTCTGTTTGAGTTGATGTTTGTGCTTGATAATGAATCTAAAGGTATATCGAGTATCTTCATAGTTCATGTCGATATTCTAGTGTATTATAATATAGTGTAGTTTCACGCGAATCGTTTAGGGCCTGAGGGTTCAAGCGTTGCCATTTGGGGTCTGGGGTTTGAGTCTCCTTTGCTTTGCAAACCCTTCACGAAGCCTATGGCGCCCAAGATGGTGTGCCCTCCCCATGCAGCTGCAGCAGAATCACTCCATGCCCCCAAACTCCAAGCCCGCCACGCCCATAAGCGCAATCCTGGAAGAAGCCCGAGCCTGAACGAGCTGTCAGGTACCACGTCGTCGGGGCGCTGGTGCTGGAGTGTACGGTTATCTACTACACGGAGGGACGCATCCGGGCCCTGGGCCTAGCTTAGGCTCGGGTTTGGTTCGGTGTAACGTCCTGACGGAGATGGGCAAAACGACCATGTATCACGGAACCCTTCTTTGAAGCACATGACCTCCTCCAAGAGGCTCAGAATCGCTGCGGCTGCTCCAACCCCGCAACTTCAAAACCCTGAAGCCCCAAAGCCGACCGCAACTCTCACGAAGCCCCTTCCCCACAACGAAGATCCTAGCAGAGCAACCAATGAACGCCTCGCGCCCAAGACGTCGTCCCCGCCCTTCTTGTTGGGCCTCTACTGGCTCTCGGTGCGGGGCCCGGCTCCTGCGAGCGAAAGTCTGACATGCCCGCAATGCGTGGCATCGGAATTGTAGACTACCCATAGGCTCCGTAGTAGTTCCTTTTTGGGATTTCCTTATAGGATCCTAAACGTGAGCCACAAATAAGGAAATACAATGGAGCCGATGGGTAGGGCCTAGGATCATGTAGGGCTTTCGGGTCCTTGGGAGAGCAAGCGTAAGTACAACAAGACTAATCAGCTGACTAACTAGCTAGCTAGCTAGCCAGCTAGCTAGTGAGATAACTAAGCATCTAGCCAATTAAATAGCTAGCTAGCTATCCAACTGCTAGTAGCTAACTGAGGCTGGCTGACTGACTGACTGACTGAGTGATTGATTGATTGATCGCCTGACGTACTGACTAATTACACAAAGAAAAGCGAATACATGTATACATTTGTCTCAGACGGATATGTGTCTATACGTGGGTGTGTATTGTGTGGTATATACTGTATGTACGTACGTATGCATGCGACGTCGTTTCAGTTTGGGGGAGGGCCTTGCGGCTTGAGCTTCAGCTTCAGGACCGAGCCGGGGTTGGAGTTTCGTGGGAGTGTCAGGCTGCCGGTACATTTATCTACGTGCTGCTCTGTGTGTGGCCGGTGCCTGAGCCGTGCCGGGAAGCTCCAACAGGAAGACATGCGAGGTGTTCGCTGGTATGTGGGTCCATATACAGGGCTTTCAGGCTTTGGGCTTTCGGGTTTGGGGTGTTCGAAGCTTCAAGGCAGTGGGTCAGAGTAAAGGCATGGTGCTCGTGACCATGCTCCTGTCGCGAGTCACAGCTGCTTCAAGCAACAGCAACAAGCACGCGGCATGGGAGGTGAGTTCAGGGCCAAGGCTTGTACAAGAGGATCTGCAAGGGTCGCTACAAGGATGGCTGTGCAGGGACAGGGTTCAGCCGGGTCGGATTTGGAGGCTCGGAACCGGATCTGACTTGCAGCACTTCATACTCGATGTCCGAGATCTTACATGAGTTAAATGGGAGCATGCATGAAGCCTCTCATGTAATGTTTAACATCAGTTTCCTTAAGGGTGTTGGGCACTCTGGGAAACCATCTGGAAAGAATCCCGTGTACCGCAGCTCGGGAGCAAACTAAATGAACAATTAATTCCGTAGGGTTCCGTACTATTAGATGTATACCTTAAAAGGGGCCCAAAACTCCAATCCGATTATGAAGGTCCCTACATTGCCCGCGCTCCCAGGTTCAGCATGTACGCCTCCATCTCTTCGCACAGTTTCGGGGCCGCCCGGTTGGCACGCAGCCTCTTGCTGTGCAGGGCAATCAAGCAAATGGGAGTTGCCGAAAATAGGGGACCCCAATATAGTACCCTGAATAGTAGGATCCTTGTTATAAGGACCCCCAAATAAGGTACCCCTAATTTTCGGAAACTCCCAAGTGGGTCAGCACGCTTGCGTACAAACCCTAAGCCTAAATCCTAAACCTCTCAAGGTTGAAACCCCAAAACGATGGCGACAGCGTGGAACCTTGAAAACCCTCGGACCCATGAAGCCGTTGAAAACCCGACAACAGAAAACCTCAACAACCCGCAGCCCTAAACCCTGTGACCTAAAGCCCTAAAACTAAACCCTAAATCCTAAATCCTAATCCTTAAACCCTGACAGCCACTACTGCACGCAGGGTACACTGTTCCTCATTCCAGAATGTGGATTCTTCGAAGCGAGGGCAGGAGTGAGCTGAAACAAGCAAGATACGCCATGAAAGGAACCCGTAACAGAAACCCTAAGAATCCGATACGAGCCCCGTAGAGGAATCCTTAAGGGTCTTATAAGGGTGATTATACATAAGGCATAGGGGTTTAGGATCGTGTTTCGGGGTTCCTTCAAAGGAACCCTAAACCTCCTCAAAGGGCCCCAAGAGGTCCGGCTCTTGACGCGCTTCATCCGTCTGCCGATCCCGGGAAGCCAGCAGCCGGGGGCCAAGGGAGTGCCAGGTAATGTTGGGCCGTAAAACTTACCTATACTATTCTGGGGTTCCTTATTCTACTTATAGTATAATGGCTATTTTTTGGGGGGATCCTTATTATACTTATAGTATAATGGCTATTTTGGGGGATGCTTATTAGAGTTCTAGCATAATGGGCCCGAATACTACCCGGGGCCCGAGGGCTTTGAAGAGGATTTCTATCATGGTTCTGGAAGCGCTGTGAAGATGAAACGGGTTGGTGTGAGGGTTGGTGTAAGGGTTTCTATAGCGGATTAGAATCTTGGTGTATATTCTGATACAGGTATATAGGGAATAAGTCAAGATGACTGGAATCTCGAGACAAGGAACCGGTATCAGGGATTCTGGCTTTTGAGGGTCTTATCCTCGCCGTCATGTTCATCGTCAATGTCGGCGATGCTGTCGTCTCTTTGTCGTCGTTTTCATCATAATCATCATGGTCATCATCATCATCGTCATCGTCATCCATCCGCGCCACCAGCGTCTTGTTTGCACCACCACCTGAATCAGCCTTGCCAGCAGCGGTGCTTTTCTGGTGCTTGCACTCGCGTGCTGTGGCAGACAGCTTGGATCCACTCTCGGGGGGTGGGGGCGGGGGACTGAGTGCAGAAGGCAAAGGATCCAAAGGAGGCTTTCGAGGTGTTAGTCGGTTTTGTGGCACAATTATCTCCACACTTCCTCACGCTCTTCCAGCAGTGGGCGCTCAATGCCGAAAGTTCTTTGCCGCCCAAACTCTGAACCCTGAACCCTAAACCCTGAACCCTTTGCCTTAAGGGCCAGCAGCCCCGAATGCCGTAATCGCGATGCTCCACCTCCCCAGGATTAATGCTCTCAATGCTCGGCTTACCGACTTCGAGCGCGCGGGCCCCGCCTTGTTGTCATTAGGCGTCGTTTGATATTTTGCATTCTTATTACTATTACTGCTGTTACGATTATTATCATCCTTACTATTACTATCATTATTGCAATGATTATGATTATGATGCTTCTTCTCATTTGTATTGTAATCCTTAGTATTAGTATTACTATTTTCGTATAGGTAGTAGCTCGGGTCTCGGGATCGCTGTTGCCTGCCCAGGACAAGGAAGGAAGATCATGCGCATCCCCTTCACAAAGGACGTGCCGCAGTGGCAGCAACGCAGGCATGAGCCCGAAGTCTGCAAAGGTCGGTGGTCAAGTTACGGTAAGAGAACATGCCAGACCCCCAGCATGGAAAGAGCTAATGTTCTGATAATGCGACTTAGACGACATAAAGGAAATAACGGAAGTAGTAATGAAACAGTAATAGTCGTAATAGTAGTGATCATCGAAACAATAAAGATTTATCGCACGAGCTAGAATGAAAGCAATAGTTGTAGCAATAAGAACAATAATGACAAGCTCCCGGCCCCTTGCCTGGTTGATGAGGCCAGAATCCAAACCTCCACTCTCGAGGCCCCACTCCAAAACGTGTCATCCAAGTATCAAACACTAGCAGAAGGGAAAGCCGACAAAAAATCCAAACTCAACAAACAACTCCCTAACAGGAGCCTTAAATCCTAAACCCTAGCGCGAAGTCGGGAAAGAGTCAGTTCACTTTAGAAAAAGCCCTAAACTAAACCCGATCCCCTAATCCCCAAATAGGGCACTACTGTCCGTACAGAATCAGAATGAGATCCCCTAATCCCTAAAGAAGACACCGGGCAGGGACCTGAAAGATCAGCCAGACGCGACCCTCGGCATGGGAGAGGCCAGGGATCCTCTGCTTTTCTGGCGCTTCTGAGGGCCTCTTACAGTAGTATGGTATTACAGTAACATAGTAATATGGTCCAAAAAAAGTAGTATAGTAACATCGTAACATAGTAAGATAGTAATAGAGTAACATAATAGTATGGTAATGTATTGTGGGATTGATGGCAGTGCAAGACGAAGCAACAACAACGGCAGGAACAAGTATCATCAGCTCTAGAGCTCTACTCATCGTCATCGTCGGCCTCATCCTCATAGTTCTTGTAAACTATCATCGTCTCTAGAGCCATCTTCATCATCATCATCATCGTCCTCTCCATCATCATCATCATCATCACAACCTTCTCGGCCTCCCTAGCCCTTGTCAGCCAGAGTTTCCATGCGGTTCTCTTTTCCCAGAGCAGTTCGGCGCCAGGGAGACGAGAACTTCATGACCGCTGTGGTACAGACCGGGGCCATGAAGCAGCAGGCCAGGTCGGTTTCTGGAACTCTGAAGCCGAACCTTCGAAGCTTGCAGCCCTGTGGGCACCGCAAGCTGTGGAATCTTGGACCCTGAGACTTTGGCGTCTGGACGGAGTCCTCACACCCTTCCAAAACAACACCACAGGAGGCATAGCAAGAAAAACACGTCCCTGCGACGCCTTCACCTCTCCGTGTCCCCAAAAGTTTTGCAAACCACCTGTGCAGTCGTGCATGCTGGCAAGTTCCCCTCAGCCCCTACGAAGTCCGTGCGACGAAGGACCTCTTGGAGGAGGGCGTGCAGGCTCCGACAATCTCGACAAGTAGGTTCTCTTGAAAGATTCTGGGTTTCATGTTGTAGACCCTTAATGCCCTAGCATTAGTCGTTCAACTCGACATGCTAGCTTCAGGTGTTGTGTTTTATGAAGACAGTGACAGCAGCATTATTTCTGAGTGGTAAGCATGGTCGTCTCAATAACATGCATGGCATGAGCACATCAAGATTGCATGTTGATACGCCGTGGAAGATCATCTGCAGCATGACAATAGCACCAGCGCCCGACTGCTTCCACGTTGCAATGGGAAGAGTAATGCTATCGATTGTGTTGCCTGACGGCACTTTTTGATGGACATGCGGGTCAATGGTAGCACGAACAGCAGTCGTGGCATGATTGTGTGAAGAGGAGCCTTAAAGTAGGTCGCAGGCGCACAAGAAACCTGGAGACTTAACGCATGCGAGATGTATTTGGCTCGGGTTTTGGGCAGTCGTTGGCTAAGCTGACAACCAGAGAACTAGGAAAGCGAAGGGTAGTGTCGAAACATCCACCAACACCATTGTTTTGTGCACATACGATGATATTTCGCCTAAAGTCTGAAAATCAGAACAGCAGGACGAATCATAGGAAATCTTGCACAAGCGGCAGTTGGTACCTCCACACGAACTCAGACAGGTATCTAAAGAGATCTGGATTGGCCTCGCATGGGCAGACGAGGGAAGTCGGACGTCTGCCGCCATCAGTCTATGCTCTTAGTCCCAGCCATACGCTATAAAATGTGCCGTTGGGCTTTTGAGCGGAAGAGGTCTGGGTGGCCGATATCACACTTGGCAAATGGGTGCTCTGAGGAAAGGACGAGGTCTGCGTGGATGTTATCATAGCTGGCCCATGGATGCACACGGTTGACCTACAGATGCTACAGGGAACGGATTTTGCACTGAGGAACGGTGAGGTCTTCATGGACGTTATTCTGGTTTTGGCCCATGGATGCTCTGGGGAACGGATGAGGCCTGGATGGGATTACGTGACTGCTGACCCGTGGATGCTCTGGGGAAAAGATGAGGCCTGGGTGGGATGACGTCACGGTTGACCCAGGGGATGCTCTGGGAGACGGATCAGGTCTGGGTGGACGTTATCATGGTCTTGGCCCACGGATTCTGCGGGTTATATGGTTTTCTCATAGATGCTCCTGGGCAAGCAGGAAACTACCAGGTTTTTATGTGTCTGCTTCTTTAAGGGCCATGGGTTTTTTTTTTTCGAAGGTGCGGCCAACCCTTGTTTGCGAGGTGCGGCCAAGGGTCCCTGGTGCATGCGGTCCCCTAGTCCTCTGGTCCTGGGTCCTGTGGTCCCCTGGTCCTCCGGTCTGCTGGTCCTCTGGTCCTGTGGTGTCCGTGCATGCGGGTCCCCTAGTTTTCTGGTCCTTGGTCCTGTGGTGCCCTGGTCCTCTGGTCTGCTGGTCCTCTGGTCCCGTGGTCTCCTGGTGCCGTGGTCTCCTGGTCCTGCGGTCCGCCGGTCCCTCGGTCCCGCAAAAGCAACAAGAAAGCAAACAAGGAATAACACAAATAAAGCAAAATTTCAGAAGTAAGAAAACCAGAAGAAAGATGATGAAGGAAAGAAAGCCAGGAAGAAAGCACAAAAGAAAGCAAGAAAGCAGAGGAGCTAGCAAGGAATGAAAGAGAAACAAGAACGGGAATCCGTTTTTGTTTGCGTCCTTTTTTTCGGTCCTCTTTTTTTGCCTCCACGTCCTGTTATTTACACAGGGAAGGAAGAAAGCAAGGAAACAAGGAAGGAGGAAGGAAGGAAGGAAGAAGGAAAGACGAAGGGAGAGAAGGAAGGAAGGAAGAAAGAAAGCAAGAAAGCAAGGAGACAAGGAAGGAAGGATGGAAGGAAGGAAGGAAGGAAAGGAAGCAACTAAGCAAGGAAGAAGGATCGAAGGAAGAAAGGAAAGAAGCAAAGGAACGAAGGAAGGAAGGAAGGAAGGAAAGGAAGGAAGGAAGGAAGCAAGGAAGGAAAGAAAGAAGGAAGAAAGGAAGGACGGTTGTACATCAGTATATAAAGTAGAAAACACATATATATATATACATATATATATATATATGTATATACATAGTATACATAGTATACATAGTACATGTATTATATATAGTATGTATACTAGATATAGTATGTACAGTATAAACATATAACATGTGTATATATAATATATATTCATATAGTATATACATATATATATGTAGTATATATATGTAGTATATATATATATATAGTATATAGAGTTTATATTGTATATTTTTATCTACAGTATATATAGTATATATAATGTATAAAGTATATATAGTATATATATATATAGTGTACATAATATATACAGTATGTATATATGTATATATATATATAGAGTATATATGTATAGTATATGTAGTAGATTAAGTAGATATAGTATTAGTATATACAGTTTATATAGTATCTATAGTATATATTATTTTATATAGTGTACACAGTAGATATAGCATATATAGTAGATATAGTAGATATGGTAGATATAGTAGTTATAAGAGATATAGTAGATATAAGAGATATAGTAGATATAGTAATTATAGTAGATATAGTATATATATATATATATATATATATTATACATATTGTATATATGGTATATATATATATATATATATTATATAGTAGATATAGTACATACAGTATATACAGCATATATATATAGTATATATAGTATATATAGTATATATAGTATATATAGTATATATAGTATATATAGCATATATAGCATATATAGCATATATAGTAAGTATAGTGTATATATATATATATAGTGTATATATATATATATACATACAGAGAGAGAGAGAGAGAGTGAGTGTGTGTGTGTGTGTCTATATATATATATATATATATATATATATATACGTACATATGGAGGGCCCATTATTTTGGATCTTGTTGTTGTTTTTTTTTGTTTGGTGTTTTTCCATGGGTTTTCCTGGGGAAAACACTATTTTCCTCATGTTTTGGACGGATTTGGTGTGCTTTTCTTGGTTTTTCCACCTGAAACGAAAAGAGCCCAGGAAGACAGAACGAAACACCCCAGAACAAGGACCAAAGCAAGGAAGAAGAACAGAAAGAAAGAAAAGAAGTAAGACAGACGGTTGGAAATTCAGGTTCGGAACCCAGATTCACAACACGGATTTTCTTGGGTTGTTGTTTCAGCGGGGTTACACGCGAAGCATCACAATCAATCATGAATGACTTGGAAGCTCTCTTGAGCCACGAAGTAATCAACAATAACGTGTTTGCCAGCCGGTCGTTTGCTACGAAATAAATAAAACCGTGCTCGTCAACACAAAAAAATGAAGCCAGACAACAATGCTTCAGGGGGTTTTAACGCGAAGAAGACCAAATCAATCCTGAAGGATTTAAAAGGTTTGCAAATGGGGGGGGCTGCGCCCCCCCCAACCCCCCCGCTTTTTTTAGACTAAACTCCCCGCTCTCTAAAGCCACGGAAAATGCACAAAAACGTATCCGCCAACACACAAGAAGGGGAAGCCAGACAATAATGCTTCAGGAGGGTTTAACGCAAAGAAGACAAAATCAATCCTGAAGGATTTAAAAGGATTGCAAATGGGGGGGGCTGCGCCCCCAACCCCCCCGCTTTTTTCAGACTAAATTAACTCCCCGCTCTGTAAGCCCGCGAAGAAATGAACATACACGTATTCGGCAACACACAAGAAAGGGAAAGCCAGACAGCCACGCTCCAGGGGGTTTAACGCGAAGAGCAGCAACAACACGACGACATCAACGACACCACCACCACCAACGACGACAGCAACGACATCAACGACACCACCACCGCCACCAAGGCAAGTAGTCTTGGAAATGGCTTCATTTCCCATAATTTAATTTGTTTGTGATGTTTTTTTTTTTTTTAAATCAGTTTTTTGTTGATCCCTGGATTTCATTTGTTGTTGATGATTAGTTTTTTTTGATGCTCCACCCAGGGATCCTGCGCTTCGAAGCGCTGGCGCTGTGGTGCGGCGCCAATTGTCTACGTCCCCGATGAACCCTCCACAGGGATCCTGCCGCTCGAAGCGTTGGCTCTGTGGTGCGGTGCAAATTTTCTACGTCCCCGATGAACCCTCCACAGGGATCCTGCCCCTCGAAGCGTTGGCTCTGTGGTGCGGTGCAAATTTTCTACGTCCCCGATGAACCCTCCACAGGGATCCTGCGCCTCCAAGCGCTGGCGCTGTGGTGCGGCGCAAATTCTCTACGACCCCGATGAACCCTCTACAGGGATTCTGCGTGTCGAAGCGCTGGCGCTGTGGTGGGGCGCAAATTCTTTACATCGCCGATGAACCCTCTACAAGGATCCTGGGTGTCCAACCTGAACAAATCCTTGGCCGCACCTCCGAAAAAAGAGGGTTGGCCGCACCTTCGAAAAAAAAAAAACCCCCCCGCCCTTCTTTAAGGAGCCCCAAGAAGAACCTCAAACCCCAAACCCTGAATAAGCCCCGAAGGAATCCCTTTAAAAAACCACACCACCCGAGGATTGGACAGTGGTAATGTCGAAGCGTAGGATGGCAACGGTGCTGATGAAAAGCATATTTGGTAGCGACCTCGGTGCCGGCAATGTTGAAGATGGTAGTGCTAACCCTGAGCCCTGGAACCCCACACTGGGGGAAACCGGCAATCAAAGCTTAAGCCTCAAACCTTCAAAACGCTAAACCCTACACGCCTAAACCGTCAAACGGGACGAATCTGAGGCAGCCAGGTAGTGCAAACCTCTAAAGAGGTAGACCTGTCGCCGCAGAGAAACGTCACTGCACTTAAAGAAGCCCTTAAACCACAAAACCCCCGAAACCCAAAACCCCAAAACCCCTAAACCCTCAAACCCTAAACCCTAAACCCTAAATAATGCATCTTTAGCTTTTACATCGCTGCTAGGCCTACCAGGACGATGAGGTGGGCCTCCAGCAGGCCCGTGACGCGAGTCGAACCCCAACACCCCTCTGGTCAGGAAAACGCTTCAAAATCCCCTAAGAGCCGCATCTTCATCTACCTAGCTATCCCGAGCACCATCTTCATCAGAACCACCGGTCTTTCAATCTTAGTACATGTTCGTATCATAGTACATTATTGTATACTATGTTTGTCACAGTTTTCGTTTTTGTCTTCACACTAGTGTGCCTTGGTAACTTTCGAGAGTCAGCGATCCTTAAGCTCTGAACTGCATTCGCACAAACTGCTCTTGTTACGGAAACGGTCGTTATCAGCACCAAACTCATGATGCAGTGATGTATGTTCTGTTTTTGGCCAGGTTCGTAATTGTGATTAGCATTGTTGTGATCGGCTTATCGCGAAAGTCGCGAATCACAAGCCTCATCTTCGTGATAGTTGTGGCGATTCCCTTATTCACCAAGGTCAGCTGACTATGACCGAGCTCCTGCTACACATGTTGCTAGAGCTACCCGTGATATTACAGCAGTTGCGCCCAACAGTTGTATGCTGACGATGGTTCTGATGTGATCGCTACTGCTGTCGGTGTTACCGTCAACCTTTAGTGGCTGCAAGCGTTGTTTTCGTAAGTGTTGTTTCTTCAGCGCTGCCTTTGTGTTGATGACGGTTTCAGCTCCTGTGTGGTGATGTCATAGCTTTGATGGTTGTTATTAGCCTGTAGCCAACGGTGATCCTGTCGATCAGGCTGCGCAGAACCTGCCGGGAAAGCACATCCGCCTCTTCCGAGAGCTTTTTGGCCTTCTTCGTGTTTTGGTGAGCGTCGAGTTGCCATCTGGTCATTCAGGAATGAGTTAATCATGAGGCGTTGGATGCTTCTTATATGTCGTTCTGGTGCCGACTCCGGACACTCCTCCATCCCAGTCGACTCAGTTCCAGGTAGTTCAGCTGGAGTCATGCTCGTAAAGTTGTGGCAAAGCGGAATCTGCAGACACCTCTTTGGGTCGCAGAGATGCTCAACTGGGTCTGACAGACATCCGGCCGCCGAACCTGACTTGGGTTAGCAGATAGTAGCTCGGGACAGATTCCTATCGGTCCATCTGCGAGGTCACGCTGCTCTCGAGCACGAAAACTATAGCAAGCAGGCGTAGAAAGCCCCAAGTTGCTGCTGATGCAAAGCTTAAACGCCACACCTCAACATAAACATCCTGTAACAACTCTAACAAGTGGCCCAAGATGCCTGAAGCATACCTGCAGCCGAGGCTGCAAGCGAAGTGGCAGTGCTACGACGCTTACGCTCGTGCTCGCGGCCCCAGCATGAAGAAGATTCGGTTTGTAGGTTTCTGTTCAGAATACGATTTAGGGGAAACCTTGCCATCCAGCGGGCATCAAAGATAGCACGGGTACTAGCAGAGCAGAATAGATAATGCTGTGTAGTCTGATCTAGATCAACCTAAACCCAATCTGGCTTGATCGAACCTATAATCGAAGCTAATCTAATCTGGTTTGACCGAAACTAATAATGTAATCTGATTACATCTCTCCCAGTATGAAGCGCAATATCAACAAAAAGGACAAGGCTCCAAGACTGGAAGGTCCAGAAGAGACCCCTCGCGCCAACTGTTTATCGACGAGGGACATGGTGCAGGACAGGCCTTAATAATCAGCTTACGGTTTCCTAGCTTCCTTTAAAGGGGTCTATAAAGGTTTACTATAAGGGATCTCAATCTATAAGGGTACGATAACATAGGGGCCTCAATAGTTACCTATACTATTTTGGGGCTTCCTTATTGTCATTAGAGCATAGTGGCTCCAAAACCCTATTCTACTTACTTAAGACCCCTATAGTAGGACTCCCCAAAAAGGTCTCCATGTCCCTTGGCGTGAACCACATCTGCATGACGATGTCCTACTATGTGATCGGTTCGGACCCCAGGTTATGCTTATGATTTTGTAGCGTACTCTGCAGGGCGGCGAGGAAATAGGCTCACATCATGGACGTCGCAATGCCTTTGAGCTGTGTGCAACGCTCCGTGTGTTCCCAGGCCTCACGGTGCTGGAGTATCGGTCGCCGAGATCTAAGCTGTGCTGCAAAGGTTTCCGAAGACTGCTCCCGTTTCTGAGGCTTCCGGGTCTCGGCTTTGGGGCCCCTCTCTGAGCCGCGAAGCCCAGGCCGTCCATCATGTTTGCCCTGGTCCTGGTCTTCCAGCGCCGCTCTCGGAGGGGTCGCAGGTGGAGGGCTGTTCTGACTTGAAGGGCCCTTCGGCTGCGTACTACGCCGGGGATGCGACTAAGAAGTTGGCGTCTCTATGGCCGAACCACCATTCAGTAATCAACCAACTAAGTAGCTAACGAGCTAACCATGCGATCAAGCTACCAAGCTAATGAACTTCCCAACCACTTGACTTAACCGCACAGAGATGGAGCACAGGTTTTGAACCATTATTACTATTATTACTATTATTATTATTAGTATTATTATCACTATCATTACTATTATTCGTATTATTAATACTAAGTATTGTTATTATTGCTATTATTATTATTATCATTGTTATTAGTATTATTCTTATTATTATGCTTATTATTATTATTCTTATTATTATTATTGTTACTATTGTTATTATTGTTATTATTATTATTAGAACCAACTCTCAAAGAGATCAGGCCCCGGCTCGCGTTGAGAGCGTTATGCAGCATAATGCGGTTCTACGTCTTTCCCTAGAGCTTCTTCCCTTTCGCCAATGCACCCGCGGTTCGATGAATTTAGGAGCTGCTTGACGGCGAAATTCCGATCCCAGACAGCTCTAAATCCCCCCAAGGCCCCTACAGCCCAAATCCTGAACCCAACAACTCCCAGGGCCACGAACCTGGCACTGGCATGGCTGGACGTGGCCGGCAGGGGCCCTGGCAATGCTCGGTTTCGGCAGAGGATTTTGGGGTTGACGGTCTGCTGGGGCTCCAGGGCTTAGAAGCAGTAGGGCGGTAACCGTCAGGGCTTTGCTGGGACTCTCTGCTCGGTTTCCTTCTTTGGCAAGGCTCAGGGCCGAACTGTTTGGGACTCCTGACTGGGACTGTCTGTAGGATGGTCAGGCCGTTGGAGCCCCTTCAGATCGTCTGATCGTTCTGGTAAGCTGTGTGTAGAGCCCTGAAGAGCAAGGCCTCAGAAGGAAGACGATCTCCTCGCTGGAGGTTCTGGGCTCGGTGTCCGGGGCCGAGATTTCTCTCAGCTCTGCCTGTGGCTGGGAATCCGTTGTGGACGAACAACCAGAGCCCTGAACCGCAACAGTAACAAAACTGGACCTGTAGATTGAACGCGCTGAATCCATTGCCACCTCTGCCGCAAGTGCCCGTCATTCTCATGGTCGTCTTTACTAACATCGTCACCATCAACATCGTCGTCATCATCATCATCATCATCCTCATCGTCGTCATCATCATCCTCATCATCATCGTCACCACCTCCATCATCGTCGTCAATATCAGCGAATTTCGCCATCATCTCGCCTCATCTCATCTCATTTCATGTAGTCTCATATCTCATATCGTGCCACGAATCATATCTCTTCATGTCAGATCTGGTCAGGTCATCTCATGGTCATCATCCTTATCGTCAGGCGGCTGCACCAAAAATCACGAAGCTTGCGCGCCTGCCAAGGCCCCCTTTCATCGCCTGCTTTTCCATGGCCCGCCGCTCAGCATCTCGTGTTTTCGCTCTTTCGGTGTGTGCATTCTGGAAATCCAGCAGATGATTTCGCGCAGGCAGTGTGGCGAAGCCTTGGTGCGTCTCTGAACATAGAGAGGTCGTGAGGTGACATTCTTGCTCAAGGCTAAACTTGAGAAGTCTCAAAGCCCGACCTTTCAGTTTTCAGTTGCCATCTGCCCATGGCGACCAGCGCCCCTTTGTTGGGTAAGCAGGGCAAGGCCGCCCACAGCAAGGCATCGATCTTCTATGGAGCGGACGAGTACCTTGAGGAGCTGAAGCTTAGTAGCTGAGTGGATACACTTTACACTTTTTGGGAGAATATTACCCACTATAGAACCGAAAGTATACACTTTTTGGGGCGTATGAAGTCAGCGACTAAGGAAGAAGAAGTACGAACATGACCACGAGACTTGGCGTTCTTCTGGTTGGCTCTTAGGACTCTAACTTTGAGGGTTTCTATATTAATGCGAACTATAATAAATTGGCTAAGAGTTTAGCTTTCAGGAGGGGTTCAGAAGTCAGCCAAGGAGATCGCAGCTCTTAAGAACGCTCTGCCGGGCGAGGGGGACCCTAACGCAGCAGGCGTTGCCCAGAGCAGCGACAAGATGCTCTCCGTTCAGAAGAATGCCGAGAACAGGAGCCTGAAGACCAATCGGCTCTTCCCGACTCCGAATAAGCCAGACCCGATGCCGCAGAACTTGGCATTCCTCTTCACCAAGATCACGCCGGACCGGGGCTGCTGTGTTTGATCATGTGATTTGGGCTCGCTGGTTCCTTGTTCAGGAAGGCGATATTCATGTACAGCAAGTTGTTGCGTCCATCAGTCTGCCGGTGGTGGCATCATTTCTTCATTTGTTTGTCCGGGCGGTTTTGCATTTTTGTCCGTTATGGGGTTTGCCTGAGCAGGCAACCGAACCAAGCAAGCTAAGCTAGCAAGCGAGCAAGCATGTAAGCAGGCAAGCAGGCAAGCAGGCAAGCAGGCAAGCAGGCACACAGGCAAGCAAACTAGAGCGCAAGCCAGCAAACGCTTACTTCCATTGAGTTGCACACCTCATGTCAGCACAGTATGTGCATGAAGTCAAGTACACTTAAAGTTCTGCAGAAAGCGACGCTGGCAAAAAGAAAGAGAAAAACGAAGACCTCGCAACCACGAAGACTACAGTGAAAGCCCCGGGGGCAGGTCGCGTGATGGCGTGTAAGGTGCAGTAGTAAGCGTGCAGGTAGGGTGTCTGTGCACCGTATGTCAAGCGTGTCCCACAAGAGCGGATTGCCGGCGAAACTGCGCACTGCGCATGGCTGAAGTGAGAGGGGCCGATAAAAAACGGCGGAACTAATCTGGCAGCCTCCACCTTCTTAACGCACTTCAGGAAGAAAGGTTTCGTTGTTGTGCTTTTTCCTTCCTAGCCGGGATATCTAGCTCGATCATGTTTCTGGAAGTGCGGATTTGTGTCAGCAGCTTCTTCGCCTTGTCTTGTGACGCTACGACTTTAGCATCGTGCTGTTCAATAGCAATCTGTGCTTGTGAGGAGCAGATGATCTACATGAACCTTGTCATAGTTGGGTATCATTTTACATTTGTATGGGTGCTGAAGCAACAAGGCATGGAAACTTACATTATAATTTCCATGAGCTAGGTGGAATGTCCTTACCGCAATCTTCTTCACTCAAGTGATGATGGTGATCGGCTACTGTGCAGCCTTGGCTTGCTTCCCGGACTACTGGTGGACCTGCACGCTCTGCTTCGGCCTCCCGTTCTCGTACATTGCCATCCAGAATATCTACATTGATCACGATGTGATGCATGGCGCCACCTTCCCGGTTTACGAGTGGCAGCGCTTCTTGACACATCCATTTGCTGATTTTTTCAGCTTGCCGTGGGAGGAATTCGTCCTGGAGCACAACAGGCATCACGCCTCGACGGTTGACCTGCTGATCCAGGGTGAGTTCGGCTGGGACCCCGAGGAGTTCCACTACGCCCTCCAGCAGTGGGCCGGACCGTGGGGCTCCAACTGGTACAAGTACCTGCTCACGGTCCCCTTCATCCCCGTTATCCATTTCTTTGGCCTGAACGATACCGGCTCCCTCTTCGCCTTGGAGTGGTGGATGCACTTCCCCGACGAGGGTGCAGGTGGTAAGTGCAACAAGGAATTCTGGAGCAAGTGGGTTCCACGCCGCGTCAAGCACAACGCGTTCGTGCTCGGCTTGTGGACATGTGTGTGGTTGCTCGGCACCTACCCTCTGGGACGTCCTCTGAGCGAGGGCTGGCGGTTCATGTTCGCAGTGTCCTTCTTCGCTCGCGTCGGCTACTCTGCGGCCTGGATGTTCATCACCAACTTCACTCATAGCTTCCAGGCGGCTCCAATTTGGGAGTATTTATATTGAGTTGAGTTTATCTTTTGGTTTTAGAGGTCCGGAACGCTAAACTTTTGCCAGGGTACCCCCAACCGAAGCCCCGGCACCTGAAGCGCAATTTCCTCACACTACAACTCTTTTACCGCCCGTGGCTAATATGGAAGCCGACATGAGTACCAACATGATTCCACAGGTTCCCTTGTTGTTGAACTTAAAATCTTAAAACCTTGATCCTAAAGATGTTACAGCCCAGGCTTGCCTTGGAACGAGTTCCTGGCACAAGATCCGGGCCGCACCTGGCCAGTGCTTCACAACGTGATGGCCATGGTGTTGGGTGGAAAGCACCGCTGGAACGAGATGCTCTTCCACGATGCGGCTCGGCTTCATTTGCGAGCACGCGAAACCCCAGAGTAGAGTAGCGGGCATGCAGGGTATGTTCTGGAACACAGCTTCATTTAGCAGTGCTCGGATGCCTATAAGGTACATCACGCTAACCCGTGTCAGGTTGCAGCAGTCCAAGCGCCTAAATAAGGTACATCACGCTTTCCCCAATGCGGTCGGTACGCTGAGCCAGCGCGGCCGCTTCCACGGCTGGGAGAAGGTGCACGACGCTGCCGCCGAGGTTCTCCACCGCGGACTGTGGAAGCCCAATGGTGATGAGGAGACCCAGATGCAGAAGACGCAGAAGAAGCGCTCCTTGATGATGAAGCAGGGCAAATGAGTTGCTCAGTTTTCGCTTCTACCAGCATAGGGCCGCTCAGCTATGCTGACATGGTGTTGAAGCCTCTCTTGTACAGGGCCTCTTGCTAAGGGCCTAGTTTGTACAGTACCTCTGTGCATGTGCCCTGCGGCACCCTTGAGGTCTAGTGGGTGTTCCCCTGTCGGAGCCACTGGCCATGTCTACTTGCTCTCGGTTGGAGGTGTCATGCAGGAGCCTGGACAAGAGACCTTACCAAAAGAAGGACGTTGGGTGCAATTGGAAGAGCGGCTGACAGACTTTGGACGAGCCTTTCAGCGTCCGGTGCACAGAGAGAGAGAGAGAGAGAGAGAGAGAGAGAGAGAGAGAGAGAGAATCCCAGCGCTTGTCCAAGGTCAATGCGCCATACCTTGAGGGTGGGTGCGGGCCCTTGTGGCTCCAGTGTACTGGCCGCTTAACGTCCTCTCTGCTCATCTGCAATGGTATGTGTACTGTACTTGCAAAGGTTTCTGTTGAATCTCAAAAAGTATGCTTGTTATTGCAGACGAGTACGTATTTTGTAGTCTCATGAAATAGTTGTTGCTCCGAGTTGCATTGTCATCATTGTCACTTGGTTGTTGGTGTTGTTGTGGTTGTGGTTGTGGTTGTTGTCGTCGTTGTTGTCGTTGTTGTTGTTGTTGGTGGTGGTGGTGATGATGGTGGTGCTGGTGCTGGTGCCGGTGCTTGTGTTGGTGCTGGTGCTGGTGCTGGTGCTGCTGGTGGTGGTGGTGGTGGTGGTGGTGGTGGTGCTGGTGGTGGTGGTGGTGGTGGTTGTTGTTGTAGTTGTGGTGGTGGTGTTGTTGTTGGTGGTGGTGTGTTGCTTCTTTGTTTGTTTAATTGTTTGTTTGTGTGTGTGTTTTTGTTAGTTCTTTTTGTTTGATTGTTTGTTAGTTTGCTGTTGTAGTTGGGGTTGTGGTTGTGGTCGTGGTTGTAGCTGTTGTTGTTGTTGTTGGTGGTGGTGGTTGGTGGTGGTTGGTTGTTTGGTGGTTGATGGTTGGTGGGTGGTTGGTGGGTGGTGGTTGGTTGTTGGCTGTCTGCTGTTGGCTGTTGGTTGTTGTGGTTGTTGGTTGCTGGTTGTGGTTGTTGTTGTGGTTCTGGTTGGGTTGGGGTTGGGGTTGGATGTTGCGGTCGCGGTTGCGGTCGTCGTTGTTGTTTGTTGCTGTTGTTGTGGTTGTAGTTGCGAGTTTCTTGTTTTCATCGTTTCGTCAGGATCACGCAGTTGCTGTGGTCGGCCTCATGTCTGCGGCACCCGACGGTAGCTGTGCCACGGTCACGACTGCTGCTGCTTTTTGTCTTTCTATTGCTTTGGCTTCATATCATGCCAGCCATCCGGCGTAGGACTTAGAAGTCCCTTGTGTTCGTAGACCTCTGCTCCTGCAAGGCGTGGCCAATTCGACCCGGAGCACGAGTTCGTCCTGGGCTGCGCGGCCTTCTTCGTCACTGCGCTCTGGCCGGGGACTCCTGGGCTGCAGGATTTTTTGGGACGGTTAGATGATAGATGCATTTGCACAAGACTGCAATCTTTTCGCTTGTTGGCGTCAAGAGGTCCGACATTTTCAATGAGGCTTCGCTTCAGTCCCAGAAGCAACTCCAAACTCCAACCCTGGAGCTCTGAACCTTGAGCCCTGCGCCCCCAAGCGGCCCAAGCCAGTCTTCCCTTTTGGGGGATCCCATGGAAGGCTGGAGGGTTTGCTTCACCTCGCGTGGCCGGGTGCCTATGTGGCGCTTCTGGAAAGTTCTGCCTGGCATCGGGTTTCGGGAAATACCGGAGACCTTCACCTTGGAACCCAAAGCCCTAAAGCCCGAGCCGTAGACCCTAAGCCTTACATCCTCTTCGCCTCGAAAAAGAAGACCTGTGGGTTTCGTGTTTCTTGTTCTTGGGCACAGGCGGAGCTAGGGCTGGTTATACTGGCTTATAGGTACGAGCACGATGAAAGTGGTGGTGGTGGTGGTGGTGGTGGTGGTGGTGGTGGTGGTCGTCGTCGTCGTCGTGGTAGCCAGCAGCGGTCGCAGCGGTGGCAAGGGTTGTCGCAGTGGCAGTGCCGTGCCCGTGGCAGCGCGGAGTGGTGGCATTCATGTTCGAATTGCCCCCGAGCCCTAAACCCTACACTCTAGACCCTAAGCCGCAAAAGCCGCCTTTGAACCGACCAGACGCCGGGAGGCCAAGTGCAGACCTCGTGATGCTTCCGAAGCCATCACCCCAGGAGCTTTCGTGGTTGAGTGTCGACAGGCTCCGGCCCGGACATTTGAAGCAACTGTGAAGTCCTCACATTTTCTGAAACAGGACTTGAAGTTGTTGACGGTTTCCCATTGTCTGAGTCTGATTCGGGAGTGCCTGCAGATGTCGTTTCGAAACGAGGCGTTTCCGCTCGGTGCTCTTCCTCGACGTGCGCGGGCCAAGTCGTTTCCTTTCCTTTTCACTCGCCCTACCCCTACCCGGCCCTACCCGAGAACCCGATGCTCTGGGTGCGAGGTGTTTGTGCCTCACAGTTCGTTTGCCGCATGGGCACCGGTTGTTGTCCACTGAAGACTCTTCAGTATTTGCTGTTTACTGCGGAGTAGTGGTGAACCGCTAGCCGCCTGCCATAGCCTCTTCCGCGAGCGGTTGCAGAACTCCTTCAGGTCTTCGGTGTCGCGGATGACATCAAGCAGCAGGTGGATTTGCACTGCCTATGTCTGCACATTCTGCACCCTGAACCCTAAGTCATAAACCCAAAAAATCCAAGCCATCAGAGCCTGCCTTCCCTGCTGTGCACTTCAAGTCCGCTTGCCAGGCGCACCACCCGCAGCCAGATCAAGACGGTTCGGCTCCTGGTTTCTATTGCACAGACGAACTGCGGAGGCAGGCATAGATCACAACAGCAGATTAGGAGGCAGCATCGGGCGAGTATAGACTATTCTTTGGAGTTCCGGAGCCGTGGCTCTGTGGGTGCAGCATAAACCGAAGCTTGCACCTGGCCAAGACGAGCCCATCCACGAGATCTCGAGGGAGCAAGCGGCCCCGCCCCAAGCATCGGAGGCAAGGACTGCTACTTCTCCCGCTCCGCAGCTGCCTGTCCGATTGAGGGCTTGCGGAGAGCGGAGGATCGAGGTATGGAGCTTCGGTGATTCTGTGAGGAATGCCATGAGATCTCGGCAAGACGAACTGTTTGCCTGGCCTTGCCGAAGGGAGCCTCTCTCGCCGGAAAACGATCTTCGAAAACCAGAGACTCCTGGGAATCTCATGCCCCGAGCCCGAGCCGTGCAAAGCTTCTGTCCTTCGCCGAGGAAGAGGCAGACACTGCGGTGTCGGATGCCGAGGCGCTGGTTTGGCGGGATAGGGGCGTTGGGATATGGCGGTTTCCCTCAGGAGTTCAGAGGGTCGGCTTTTCTTCCGTCGGCTTTGCGAGTAGGAAAATCGAGCAGCCCATGTCGCGGAGCCAACGAGGAGTCTGTCGCGGAGCCAACGAGGAGTCTGAAACGCACTGTCACATCCAAAGCTCGAGCCAGAAATGGCTTCATGCGTGCATCCCCAACCACGCACCACACGCTGCGCAAGCTCTACGAAAAACGTCCCGATCTGCAGTCTGCTGTCCGTCGCTGGGCCGAGCTGCCGAAGGGCAGCAGCGAGGCGAAGGACATCAAGGTGCCACCTCTCTGCCTTGCGGCCTCGGGGGGAAGGAGTGTAAGGTTTCGAGCGCAGTAGGGAGGACTTTGTACAAATTCGAAGACTGCTAGACAGTTTTTGGTGGTGGAGACGATGGCTTCGATGGTATGGTCGTAACGATGGTGTTGATGAGGATGACGGGGATAAGACACGTGCTGGTGCTGTGGTGCCGGTGCTGCCGGTGCTGGCAGGGGCTTGCGTACGAGGACAAGGTTTGTCATCCTCTCCTGAGCTTTCTGAAAGCTTTGCTTCATACCTGTCACCAGCGAACCGGTGTCCCTGCCAGGGGCCATTGGAGGATCTCCGATCGAAAGCGCTCACGTGGCGCAAGGTTGGGGCTCCTGGCTGTCTGGCGGGTTTCAGTGTTCGGAATGACGGATTCGGGGTGCTTATGGAACTTCAGGACTGAATAGCAGCGAAAGAGGGCTAGACTGGACTACCTGAATCTGAGCCTAGGCGCTAAGCCTCGAACTTCAGAGATCATTCTTTCAGCCCTCCAGCCTTCAAAAGCCTTGAAGCCGGCTGCATCCTGCGAAGCCTCAGGTCTTGAACGGAGAGGCCGCTAGGAGAGCCATCCGCCGTGGAGACACCGCGGATCTGGACGCGTGGCGTCCCGAGGAAGGGGGCTCCTACTCGAGCCAAGTTCTCTGATAAGGGTACCTGCCCTAACCCTTAAACCCGAAACCCTAAACCCTAACCCCAAACCCTAAACCCTAAACCCCAAGCCCTTGCGGGCAGGTTTGGTCCGGCTCGTTCGCAGAGCGCATTGCAACGATCCCCCCAGTCCTGGTGTGTGTGCAAAGCCGTGCTTGCGCACGCTCACAGCATCACAGATAGCCGGGGCCACCCTAGCAGAATCAGGGTACCCCTAAGCTGTAAACCCACAAACCCTGAAGCCCAAAAGAACCCTAAACCCTAAACCCTAAACCCTGAAGCCCAAAAGAACCCTAAACCCTAAACCCTGAAGCCCAAAAGAACCCTAAACCCTAAACCCTGAAGCCCAAAAGAACCCTAAACCCTAAACCATCGGACCCCTTGAAGCCCTCGGAGCCTCTTCTTCAAGGCTCAGACCGGACACCCGGACCTGGGGCGAGCTCACGGAGCCTCCCGGCTCACTTCGTCTTCTTTGGGGCGTTGGACTTCAACGGTGATCATCATTTCATTCGACCTTGAGGTCTATCATCAGCACTTGTGGTGATGCTTCTATTCTAGCCTTCTTGTTTCGCTTTGGTTGCGGTGTGAATGTAACTAAAAGTGTGTGGGTGTGTGACTGTACAGAAATCCTATACTTTGTCCCATGTTCAATCCTGGCTTGCTTCGTGAACGGGGTAGTCTCGTT